TCCCACAGATTCGTGACGCGGGCGTTCATACGAAACCGTAGTGCCCATTCGCGGAAATTTGAGCCGTCAAACGGAGTGGTGGTGAATGCCTTGTCCACCGTTGCTCCCACCATTTTGCGTGACAGTCGTTCCTTGTCTTCGTCCGTATATTCACGTGGTGCGGGGTCGAAGAGAGTAGGCATGGTTGACGGTCGAGGTAGCTGTACCGTGCGCCGCATATCTCCATTCTGTCCACCAAGTTGACGTTCCAGCACTTCCACTTGATCCCGTCGCATGACACCACTTGACTGCATTCCGTACCCCATCCGCCCCATGCTGCCCATAGAGTGTGCGCTAATTGGTGGACGATGTGCACGCGGAGGGATGATGTTGTCGCCACGAAGGTGAGACCTGGGCATGGGAAGAACTCCAATGGGATGAGAGTTAGTCGCAAGTCGTCGTAGTGGGGGAGCACCAATAGTGTAGGAGGCAAATCCCACACCTTCCACGCCCACTTGACCATTTCCGTCATTCTGCTGGCCAATCTGTCCACTTCTCATTCCACCATATAATGCGTTCCCATACTCATCATTCCTCCCCCGCGCTTCTCTTTGCATGGATGATTGAGGTGCGGGATTGGCGCTCCCCCCTCCTTGGACGGATGCATCCCTCCCTTGGGATGACTCTCCTCCTTGGGGTATGCTCATTTCCCCTTCACCATCAATTCCTGCAACGACATTGGAAGCATGCGTTTGGTTAGTACGAGGAGTGCTTGAATGCGACTGTCCATGAGTGGACGGATTGCTCAACGAGTGTGCGGTTGTTGGCATGTTGAACTTGACTCGCAGTGATGCCTGCAGTGCTGGTGGTGCCCTTGAAATCATGTTTTCCAGGTGCTCATGCTGGGCCAAGATGGCTTCTTCAAAAGCCGCATATCCAGCATCCACTTCGTCATCGAATTGCGCCATGGTCAAACCGTACACCAGGTGTGCGCTACACGCGCAAGATAACTTCAGAAGTGAAGACCACGTGTACGAAAGCGTATACTAGGTGCCTGGTACTCTGAGCGTTTGCAGGTACCTATCCGAAGGGAATTCCAGCAACTTTATAGACCAAATTTGGCAGCATGCCCCCTAGAGTTGCTCTGATACCATGCTAGAAAGGCATAGTGCCAGCGTAGAGGAAACGTGTTTGTAGAAAGAACAAGATAGAACTCTTGCACTGGAAACGGATTGAGAATTTGATGGATTTTAGGCAATACAAGCAAGCTTGATATAGCATGCATGATCTAATGATGGAAAGTGCTACGTGAGAGACCAAAAGTAGAAGCAAGAGAAGTAGAGTGCCAGATGGCACAAGGAAATCAAGGAGGATAAGGATAAGGGTGAGTTGGAAAGTACTGTTCAAAAAGGGAACAGTAAATCCCCCCCCTTATCATGGAGGCTTATAGAGGGGACTACACTAAAACCAAACAGCACACTGGTATACAGTATTCGTTACACTGTATTCGGATTTCCAACAGACAACAAGGCCATGCTGGCCTTGTGTCGAGAGCAGTGACTGGAGCACAGAACAAAGCACATAACTCTCCGCTACTTCCTTGCTCGTGAGCTAGAGCAGCGTGGACAGTTGCGGCTTGCGTACGTGGTCTCTGAGGCCAACACTGCTGATGTTTTCACCAAGGCACTTCCGCCTTGTGATCATCAGCGCTTCTGCACTCAGTTGGGTCTTGTCCTTGTCTTGCCTCACTTGCTCACCTCTTGACCTTACTTGTACTGTTACATATATATATATATATATATATATATATACCTGTTCTTGCTTGTCTATCCTTATATATATATATGCATATGTACTCCTGCATTAAGTGGCCTTGTGGCCTTGAACTTGTGCTCGGAATGTGTGGTGACTTTGTGATCCACCCTGAGTTTAGCTTTGCTTTGCTTGACTGGTCTTGTGACCCCCTGTTCTCCCCCACTTTGCCTATTGTGGTGTGTCAGAACATTATAGCTTATGCTTTTGTGTAAGTTGTAGTGGGGTATCCCATAGGGGGTACAACCCAATTAGGGTTGGTACTTGTACCCACTTCATTCATATTTCATTCATTTTCGTTTCTTTCTCACTTTGGAGCGTGCTCGTTGGTGCTGCTTCGAAGGCTATGTGGAAGGCGAGCTGCGACCGCAAGTTTCACGATTCCTCCGCCACTGTGTTTGAGATTCTCCAGCTCATCCTCGCTTAGTTTCTTATAGCCTTCCAGATTTTTCTATGGCGAAGATCCAAGCACTCTCCAAAAAAACAACGGCGATCTGCCTCTTGCCTTGCCCGGGCAAAGAAACACCGTTTTTTCACCTTCTCACGAGATGGTGTTCCGTCTATTCACCCAGAACTCCGCACCTCATGGCTCTTAAACGATTCGTTCCGACCTCCTTAGATGGTTTTCTCAGCACTATGTCTAGAGCGAACCACCTGCTGGGTGGTTGTCAGTGGACAGAGGATTAGCGTGTGTCATTCGCACGTTCTTATTGAAGGTTGGCTTGTTAGCCGTTCTCCATTTTGCTCTATACACCTTGTTGTACCAGATTAAGATATTAATATATCCTTCTAACGTCAGAAGCGGCCCAATAAACTACTTCTTTCAGTACAACTCACAAACACCTCGTCCGCGTCGGCTCGACAAGCGTCCCGTTTGCTTGACGTGTCAGTTTCACACCATTACTGCTCTAGAAAGCAAACAACCATTCTGACACGTAATACGCCCTTCTGCACCGCTCAACGCCCTCGGTGCTACTCCCTTGGGAATGACGAAATTGACAGCTTGGCAAATGTTGGAGAATTTTGCTCAATTCCGCGATAGCGCGGTTCGTTTTTTTTTTTCGCCACGTGACAAGCCTTCGATCGCGCGAACCGCGATCTGTTTTATTGTTCCCACAATATTCAAGAGAAACTTAGTTAAGTTTTGTACCGCACTGCCCGCGGGCAAAAATAGAACCCATTCGGGCATGGCATGCGCTAGGGAGGCATCAACCCTAAACACCTTGCCTCTATGCATCACCAAGGTTGATGCATCACTAACGCATGTTTTTCCTAGAGGGGTTTTATTTTTGTCCGCGGGCAGGGCAGTGCATTTGACTCACTAACGCCTAACCATATTTCTCTTAAAAAATTGTGGGAACAATAAATCAGATCGCGGTTCCCACGATCAAAGGCATGCCACGTGACGAAACTAAAACTAACCGCGATTCCACGACATTGTGTAAAACTCTCCAAAATTTGATCCTTCTGTCTCTCTATCCTTGCTTGTTCCAGGCTCTACTAACTCCCATCCCTTTCATAGAAGACATCGCAAGGTTCTGCTCTCGGTCCTATTTCGCTAAAATGTCCGTAGTCTCTAGCTAAGCGCTTGTTTCGTCGCAGTGCCCTGTGGTCGCGAAAATAAGTTTCCGTTATCGTCATCGCGAATATCGCAACGCATTTCGCCACGTACTTCGTCACGTATGGCACCCACTGGCGTCGGATCGTCAAACGCGGACGCAGCAGTCGGAGCAGGACCTACGACATGCGAAGCAACAGCAACGGCAGGGATAGCAGCAGGAGAGATATTAGAGGCACCAGCGTCAAATGGACTGATCGTCGGAACTAAGCGTTCGCCGTGTGCTGGCACGAGCGATGCTAGTAGGAGTAAAATACAGTTGAATCCTCTCGACTGGGCGTATCGTGGCGAAGGTTCCGCGAACATTGTCATGTCTTACTGCGGCCATGATCCTTCCCTGGTAAGCAGTCATGCTCCAAATGAGATGAGTTGAGTTTTGAAGCGCCTGTCTTACTGCGAAAATTATCCTTCCCTGGGAAGCACTCATAATCCGAATGAAAGGCAGCACAAGATAACAACAATGGCTGACGTGTTCAGTTTGAGGCAATAGCGAGTGACCAATCGGAAGAAAGAAGTGAAAGACATTAGCGATTGACGTCTCTTAATGCGGCCAGAGCTCCTTTGAGGTGCCGCTTCAGATTCCGCATAATATCATCTTTGATTTATGCTTCCTTGTTTTACCCATTCCTGTTTTCTCGTTTGTATATTGCACATAATACCTCCTCTAAGTCGCACATTTCCACCAAAACACTGCATATCCCGCCTTTTTCTTTTAGATTTATCTGTTGCGCTTTAAATGCTTGCATAATAAACGCGTGCAGTACTCTTTTGCAACTCGTTTGCCACTTCGGCTGCTTGTGCCCTTTGTTTCGTCTCATTGCACAGATTCCCTTTGTTTCTCTCAGTGCACTGATTCCCTTTGTGTTTCGTCTCAGTGCAATGATTCCCTTTGTTTCTCTCAGTGCACTGATTTCCTTTGTGTTTCGTGTTCAACTCTGAAACCCGTGTTGTGCCCATGTCAATCCGCATCAGCACCGCTTCAAACATCTCGAGCTCATGAGCGTGAGATGTTTGTACCGATGTTCGTGAGCAAGCGGTCCTGATCGCGAGACTTCTCAAATTGAACATTCTTATCCCATCACATCGCATTCGGCCCTGCCTGCCAGGCTGCGACTGCTTTGAGTCTTCTAAAAAAATCGTCTGATGTTGAGAAGCCTCAAAGCAAGCATTCTCACCCCACAACGCTCGCCCCTGCGACTGCTCCTCTGGCCATTCGCTCCCTTCCTTCCCCAGCACCTCCCTCGTACCAGAAAGGCATGGCGCTGCACGTGAGCAAGCAACAGCTATAGTCTCGTACCTATCACACTCTCTCCCCTGCCCCTGACCCTCTGTTTCCCCCTTCTCCTCCCGCTCGCCCTCTTCCCACCTTTTCTCAAAACCCCTTCCACCCTGGACGACATTTGTAGATCGACTAAAAAGAACCCCTTCCACCCAGAAAGGCATGGTGCTGCTGTGCGTGTGCAATGAACAGCTGGATTTTTCTTGCCTTTGTTACTGACACTCGCCCCTGCCACTTCTCCTCTGTTCCTTCCTTCTCCTTCACTTGGCCCTCACCTCACCCTTTCCCAAAACCCCTTCCACCCAGAAAGGCATGGTGCTGCGCGTGTGCAAGGAAAGCCCCAATCCTCACCACTCTTGCCACTCACACTCGCCTCTGCCACTGGTCCTCTGTTCCTTCTTCCTCCCCCCCCTTTTTGCCCCTCTCCTCGCCTTTTCCCCTAAACCCTTCCGTCAGAAAGGCATGGTGCTGCGGGTGTGCAAGGAACGGCCAGATTCGCACCATCCGGAAGCAGAGGTTGTGGCCGGGGAGTCCCTATATGGAGCTTCGGCAGGAGCCTCGGAAGCAGGCTCGGCAACAGGCTCGGCGGGAGGCTTGGTGCGGCCCGAGCCTGTGCTGCGTCCGGAGGAGCGGGAGCTGTGGGGAGAAGTGGTTCCGGAGCTGGCAGTGGCTCCGGATCGGATCGACCTGCTGCATCAGTTCGTGTCAAGAGTCATGGCGCCACTCATTGGAGAAGAGTTCGTGGAGGCAGGGGTGAGTGGTTTGTCCTTCAACAGGTGACAACTCCTGGAAAGTGGCTCAAATATTGGCTCCAGAACGGAACGACCTGCTGCACCAATTCGTGTCAAGAGTCATGGCGCCACTCATTGGAGAAGAGTTCGTTGAGGCAGGGGTGAGTGCTTTAGCCCTAGCAGGTCGGTGCTGAGTACGTTGTTGTAATATGTCAGGGTGCCTGGTGCTTGAGAGCTGGCAGTGGCTCCGGATCGGATCGACCTGCTGCACCAATTCATGGCTCGGGTCATGGCGCCTCTCATTGGAGAAGAATTCGTGGAGGCAGGGGTCAGTGGTTTGATTTTAGCAGGGATCTTGCCACTTTTTTTGAGTCATCTCAAGCCTTGAGCGAGCTGGTACATGAGCGCTGGCAGTGGCTCCTGGATCGGGTTGACCTGCTGCATTGATATCTAGCTCGGGTGGTTGCGCCACTGATAGGAGAAGAATTGGTGGAGGCAGGGGTGTGTCCTTGAACTAGTGAGACGCTTGTTCAAGCACGCACCCCTGCCTCCACAAACTCGTCTCCTATCAGTGATACTACGAACTGGTGTAGAGGTAAAAATGCCACTGTCTCAATTCAGATCTGATTGACAAACCACACCAATATGTGGCTCCAGGCCTGGGGCGAGTGCTTTAGCTCGAGCCCGCCTACCTGCCTGCCTGCCCTCCCCGCAAGGTGACTTTTGAGTCGACTCAAAAGTCATATGTGGCTCCAGGCCTGGGCTGAGTGCCTTAGCTTGAGCCCGATTACCGGCCTGCCTGCCTTCCCCAACCTCCCCCTGCTGCAGACCACGGTGAAGGTTCCTCGCAGTTTCCTGCAAGATAGAAGAGGCGCTGCTGGTCACGGATCTGACTCACCTGCTCACACTCCCCACTCACTCACCCGCCCTTCCCCACTACTTTTCCCTTCCTTCCTTCCTTCCTGCCTTCATTCCCGCCTGCCTGCCTGCCTGCCCGCCCGCCCGCCTGCCTGCCTCCTACCCGTGGACCACGGTGAAGGTTCCTCGTAGCATTCTGCAGGAGGTAGCGGATCACATACGCCCAAGACGCCCTCCCTGGAGGCAGGCTCAAGGCGACGTGGATTTGAAAATAGAAGAGGCGCTGCTGGTGACGGATTTGACCCACCTGCTCACACTCCCCACTCACTCGCCTGCCCTTCCCCACTTCTCCTCTTCCTGCCTGCCTGCGTGCCCGCCTGCCCTGCCCCTTCCCTGTCATCTCCTTCCCTCCTCCCTCCTCCCTGTCCACAGACCACGGTGAGGGTTCCTCGCAGTTTCCTGCAACAGGTAGCAGACCACATCCGCCCAAGGCGACCACCCTGGCGGCAGGCTCAGGGCGACGTGGACTTGCAGATAGAAGAGGCGCTGCTGGTAACGGATCTGACTCACTCGCCCTTTTCCACCTGCCTTTTGCTCCCTCCCTGCCTGCCTGCCTGCCTGCCCCTTCCCTGCACCGCCTTCCCGTCCCTTCCCCCCTCCCCACCGCAGACCACGGTGAGGGTTCCTCGCAGCTTCCTCCAAGAGGTAGCAGACCACATTAGGCCAAAACGCCCCCCCTGGAGGCAGGCTCAGGGCGACGTGGACCTTCAGATAGAAGAGGCGCTGCTGGTGACTGATCTGACTCACCTGCACCTGGAGGACGAGGAGTGGGACGAGGACTGGGAGGAGACGGTGCGGGAGTACGGGCACGGGACCCGCGGGTATAATGGCACGACGTTTTGCATCGAGCTGAAGGTGAGCGAGAGGGCGCAAGGTGAAGCTGCAAGTCCCCCCGCGTTCTCTGCTTTGAAATCCCGGATTGAACCCCCCTCCACCTCCCTCTTCCCTCCTTTTTCCCGCTCCTTCCCTCTTTCCAGCCTAAGACCGGGTTCTGCCCCTCCTCCCCTTGCATCGCGCCGGCCAATCACGTGAAGACAACTGTCCCGCGCTTCCCCATGCACCAGCAGCTGAAGCTGTCAGAGGGGGAGGTGGCAGAGAGCAGTGCATACAACCCTCTAGACCTCTTCTCTTCCTCGCCCCCCCGCGTTCTGTCTGCTCTGAGAACATTGATCGATAACCCGCAGAACAATCTGAGGATTTTTGCAGATGGGAAGTTGCTGTTGGGGGGGCATATACACAGGCAGGCGGACAGGGGGAAGGGGAAAAAGAAGAAAGGGAAAGGGGAGAAGGGGGAGAAGGTGGGGGGGGAGGCGCAGGTTGAAAGAGTGAATTCGGTGGATTTAGCGGCTATGAGAAGGGAGGAGAAAGCGCAGGAGGCAGCTTTTGAGGCGCCTCAAAAGTCGGTGGATTTAGCGGCTATGAGAAGGGAGGAGAAAGCGCAGGAGGCAGCAGGCTTGGCTGCTGCGGAAGCAGCCCTGGAAGGGTTTGTGCGTGCTTGGAAGGAGGCACCCACCAGTAATACCAGTGCTGCTGGTAGCGGTGATGGTGGTGCTTCTGCTGCTGCTGCTGCTGCTGATGGCTTGCCAGCAGCAGAATCACCATCCTCCGTGCCTCATGTGAGTCACCCTCGGGTGGACGCTCTCTTGTCTCTGGCCACAGAGTGCCTTGTGCAGTGTGGGGCGCTGGAGAAGCTTCTGGCAGCACAGAAGCTGGATAAGTGGGACATTGAAGGCACCATTCATGCTTATAACGAGTACATGAAGCAGAGGAAGTCAACGCCTTCAGCTCCTGCTGCTGCTGCTGGTCCTGGTACTGCTCCTGGTGCCGAGGTTCCAAAGGAGATAATGGAAGATTGCAGGAAGGTTCTTCGCGATTTCCTCATCGCAGCGACGGCCAAGGACTGTGGGATCATGCTGGCCCTCCGAGCAGCCATTCCTGGAGAGACCCTGGAAGCTTCACAGAAGCTTCGCAGTGTTGTGTGCCCATCCAGCGGGTGCAAGTACTTTTACAGGGTGAGATGCTTCTTGTTGTCAGCTGCTTCTTGTTGTCAGCTGCTACTTGTTGTCAGCTGCTTCTTGTTGTCAGCTGCTTCTTGTTGTCAGCTGCTTCTTGTTGTGAGCTGCTTCTTCTTGTCAGCTGCTACTTGTCAGCTGCTTCTTGTTGTCAGCTGCTTCTTGTTGTCAGCTGCTTCTTGTTGTCAGCTGCTTCTTGTTGTCAGCTGCTTCTTGTTGTGAGCTGCTTCTTCTTGTCAGCTGCTACTTGTCAGCTGCTTCTTGTTGTCAGCTACTTCTTGTTGTCAGCTGCTTCTTGTTGTCAGCTGCTTCTTGTTGTCAGCTGCTTCTTGTTTTCAGCTGCTTCTTGTTTTCAGCTGCTTCTTGTTGTCAGCTGCTTCTTGTTGTCAGCTGCTTCTTGTTGTGAGCTGCTTCTTGTTGTCAGCTGCTACTTGTCAGCTGCTTCTTGTTGTCAGCTGCTTCTTGTTGTCAGCTGCTTCTTGTTGTCAGCTGCTTCTTGTTGTCAGCTGCTTCTTGTTGTCAGCTGCTTCTTTTTTCAAACCGTTCCCACCCCCCTTCACCCCTCCCCTTTCCCCTCATCCTTTGAATGCAGCTTTCAATAATGGATCTGGACATCAAGCCGTTGCGCAAAATGCCCAAGTATTGGAGCATGGACCAACAAATCGTCAGGCACTACTGCTCAGTTACGCGAGACGTGGAGGCATGAGAACTGGCATGACTTAAACATGTCGCACAACTAAAAGGTTCAATTATATCCGCGTCGATTATCATTTGTCTTCCGTACGATTGTTAGAAATATGTGCTGTTTTGAATGGGTGCGATTCTTTTTGTTGCTCCTTTCCCCGAGCTGGCCGGGTTTTATGTAAGGGGGATTTTGACCTCTAGGGTTTGTGTTGTGAGTTATGGTCAGTGAATTTGCGAACGTGGTGAGAATGGATTCGGATTTTCTTCGCGATATACGCAAATGCTTGTACTTGTCTGTGGATGGCACTAACGAGGACTTGAAGCGAAGCGAACTGTGTCGCATGAAAGCGGCGAAGGATGTGGAATTCACTAGAGCATACGACGGAAGTTGCGGCCAATCCCTTGCACGTCCTGGCTTCAGTGACGCTGCACACAAGTCGCAGAACGAACGGGCAGCAGGAAATGAATCTCCACAAGTGGGTGGTGAAAGTTGCATGGTCACTGAACGTATGCACAAGGTTACACCGCAAACCCTGAAGTTCGTCGTCTTCAGGAATCGTCCCTGCGGTTTCTTTTCGCGTTTATCGTTCGGTTTCGCCAGCGATCTGCCATTTCATCAGAACCCATGAACGCCTTCTCGGTAGTGGTTACTTGGCCGTGTCCCACACGTTCATTTTGACACCGCAACTCCTCAAACCGCTCGAGATGCATTTTTTGAGCGCTATAGAACGTAGTGAACCGCACGATACCGAGGCAAGGTGGGAACACCTTTGGTCACTCATCACGAAACAATTTGCGAAGTGACAGTAGTGCCAGAGTCTGACGTGTCCAGAAAAGTGAACCGCCATTTTACACCGTAGTGTCTTCGCTGTTCACCAAGCTAGCTGCTGTACATAGGTTGAAAGCCATGACTTCACCGTTTCCTGAAGCAACCCCGCATGGGCATCGATTGAACGGTGATCCGTTGCTGCTTCACGGTGATCAGGGTATACACTGGTGATTCCCAGAGAGCGAACGAGCTTGCGGATCAAGAGGAAATAGTTGCAACACATAGTCGCCTCCCACGACCCGTTGGAGCGCCTCTAACGGCAATACTGACATATAGTTTCGAGTTCTTGTGACATATTTTTTGACGTGTTATTATTCTGGAGCCACGAACAGCTGGCGTCATTGTCGCGGCGACATCAGGCGTGTATTTAACGTACTTTTAGCGCTGACTCAGAGACACGCACGCACTCTATGACTCCGCATCCCATTGCGATTAATTTCGAAGAAGCGCGAGCTCCGCATTTGATTCCATGCTTCTCAGCGAATCGAGACTCAGCATCTCGTTGCGTCTGACTCTGTTTCTGAAAGGGAACCCTCGCCATTTCGCAATGGCGTATTACAAGACCCTTTCAAACGAAAGAACCACCCCGATAAGCGACAATGCCAAGAGAGTGCGTAGGCCTGTTAGAGGCTTGACACGTATACAACGACAGCACTCATAGTAACCATGTCGTTACTAACGCTCGTTACCAGCAGCAGTATTTAACAGTATATTGTGACTGACTCCTAACCCTAGCTAGTGTACTCTAACGTTACCAATTCATCCCCGTTTAGAGGCACCAGACTGCTCGCCTTTAACGAGACACAATTTTCTTCTCGCACAGCAAGGCATCACGTTCCGCGGCTCCTATTTGAGCAGCCATGTCAAAGAATAAACCACCCGCGCCGCTTATTTCGTCCTTAAAACCCGGCCTACCTCCGCCGCATCCAACGGCTTCGTCAGGCCGGCTGCAGCGAGCTCACAGCGATGCTGCGAAGAGGGTTCAGTTCGCGACAGGTGGCATGTCGCCATTGGAGGAACAGCTACACGGAGCCGGCGCTGCTAGTCATGCCACGTCGACTGCAGACAGCCAGAGTGAGTTCGGTTTTCTCTTGGTTAGGGAGGAGCGATGTTACTACTCTCCCTCCCCAGCTCTCCCCATCCTCAGCCATCCACTGTTGTTCTTCCTGGTTCATTTTCACTATGAATTTGCTAAATGAGTGGTATATATACGTTTTGAAAATCTGCTTTGTAAGTGGTCCATATTTTTTTTTGAACTCCTTTATAAGTGGTTCGTTTTTTCTCTCAACTTTTTCACCCAGTAACTTTACTGCCTCTGCTTTCATCCCTCCTCATGGCATCATGGCATGGCATGTCATGGTCTGGCATGGCATGGCATGGCATGGTCTGGCATGTTATGGCATGGCATGGCATGGCATAACATACAACTGAACGGAATGGCATGGCATGGCATGACATGCAACTGAACGGAATGGCATGGCATGGCAGGGGACATTGGGTCGTCAGGCGGCCTGAGACGCACACAGACGCTCGACTCGCACTCCTTGTATCCCGACCTTGATAAGATCATGGGTGCGTGCTGCTTGCACTCTGCATGTGCTGGTTAGGCTCATGCACTTGGGACAGCAGGGACAAGTTGGTTGCTTGGAAGGCTGAGACGCACACAGACGCTCGACTCGCACTCCTTGTATCCCGACCTTGACAAGATCATGGGTGCGTGCTGCTTGCACTCTGCATGTGCTGGTTAGGCTCATGCACTTGGGACAGCAGGGACAAGTTGGTTGCTTGGAAGGCTGAGACGCACACAGACGCTCGACTCGCACTCCTTGTATCCCGACCTTGACAAGATCATGGGTGCGTGCTGCTTGCACTCTGCATGTGCTGGTTAGGCTCATGCACTTGGGACAGCAGGGACAAGTTGGTTGCTTGGAAGGCTGAGGCGCACACAGACGCTCGACTCACACTCCTTGTATCCCGACCTTGATAAGATCATGCGCACGTGCGGCTGCTGGTTCTGGGGCACGGGCTGGTTTGTGTAAGGGGTTGCTATGGCTCATTCAGACTATCGATGCTCGACTCGCACGCTTTGTGTCCCGACCTTGATAAGATCATGGGTGCGCGCTGCTGCTTGCACTCTGCACGGTCTGGATTGGTTGGGTTGGTTTGGGACAGCGGGGAAGAGGGGGGTTGCATGGGCGTCTTAGGCTCACAAGACTCTCGACTCGACTCGACTCTCACGCACAGACAGTCCTCTGTATCCCGACCGAGACAAGATCATGGGTGTGTGCTGCTGGTTGCTTGCACTCGTGCATGGTCTGGTCTGGGTTGGATGGATCATGGAACCGCGGAGAAGAGGGGGTTACATGCAGGAATGCGTAGATCGGATCAAAGAGGCGGAGGACGCATGGGTGCGCCCTGACACTCACTCCCCACTTGTCTCTCCATCGCCACCCCCCATGCAGGTTCAGAGTAGAATGAACTGGGGGTGGACTTTTGGAAGGTTCTGTCAAAAGAGGCAGATCACACTCAGGCGACCCCTGAGTCCTGACTGACACCCACTCCCCACTTGTCTCCATCTCTCCCCCCCTCCCCACGTAGGTTCAGAGGAGAAGGAGCAAGGAGTTGATTTCTGGAAGGTTCGGTCAACAAGCCTGGAGGTTCGGATCAAAGAGGCGGAGGACGCTCGGGCGAGCATTACTGCCCAGGCCGTGGCTCTGGCACAGCGCAATCAGGAGCTGACGAGCAGACTGAGACAGTTTCAAGAGGAGGTGAGGAGAGAAAAGGTTACGTACGAGGTTGTTTTTGAGTCGACCCAAAAAGCAATCAGGAGCTGACGAGCACACTGAGACAGTTTCAAGAGGAGGTGAGGAGAGAAAAGGTTACGTACGAGGTTGTTTTTGAGTCGACCCAAAAAGCAATCAGGAGCTGACGAGCAGACTGAGACAGTTTCAAGAGGAGGTGAGGAGAGAAAAGCTTACGTACGAGGTTGTTTTTGAGTCGACCCAAAAAGCAATCAGGAGCTGACGAGCAGACTGAGACAGTTTCAAGAGGAGGTGAGGAGAGAAAAGGTTACGTACGAGGTTGTTTTTGAGTCGACCCAAAAAGCAATCAGGAGCTGACGAGCAGACTGAGACAGTTTCAAGAGGAGGTGAGGAGAGAAAAGCTTACGTACGAGGTTGTTTTTGAGTCGACCCAAAAAGCAATCAGGAGCTGACGAGCAGACTGAGACAGTTTCAAGAGGAGGTGAGGAGAGAAAAGCTTACGTATGAGGTTGTTTTTTAATCGACCCAAAAAGCAATCAGGAGCTGACGAGCAGACTGAGACAGTTTCAAGAGGAGGTGAGGAGAGAAAAGGTTACGTACGAGGTTGTTTTTGAGTCGACCCAAAAAGCAATCAGGAGCTGACGAGCAGACTGAGACAATTTTCAAGAGGAGGTGAGGAGAGAAAAGCTTACGTACGAGGTTGTTTTTGAGTTGACCCAAAAAGCAATCAGGAGCTGACGAGCAGACTGAGACAGTTTCAAGAGGAGGTGAGGAGAGAAAAGCTTACGTATGAGGTTGTTTTTGAGTCGACCCAAAAAGCAATCAGGAGCTGACGAGCAGACTGAGACAGTTTCAAGAGGAGGTGAGGAGAGAAAAGCTTACGTATGAGGTTGTTTTTGAGTCGACCCAAAAAGCAATCAGGAGCTGACGAGCAGACTGAGACAATTTTCAAGAGGAGGTGAGGAGAGAAAAGCTTACGTACGAGGTTGTTTTTGAGTTGACCCAAAAAGCAATCAGGAGCTGACGAGCAGACTGAGACAGTTTCAAGAGGAGGTGAGGAGAGAAAAGCTTACGTATGAGGTTGTTTTTGAGTCGACCCAAAAAGCAATCAGGAGCTGACGAGCAGACTGAGACAGTTTCAAGAGGAGGTGAGGAGAGAAAAGCTTACGTATGAGGTTGTTTTTGAGTCGACCCAAAAAGCAATCAGGAGCTGACGAGCAGACTGAGACAATTTTCAAGAGGAGGTGAGGAGAGAAAAGCTTACGTACGAGGTTGTTTTTGAGTTGACCCAAAAAGCAATCAGGAGCTGACGAGCAGACTGAGACAGTTTCAAGAGGAGGTGAGGAGAGAAAAGCTTACGTATGAGGTTGTTTTTGAGTCGACCCAAAAAGCAATCAGGAGCTGACGAGCAGACTGAGACAGTTTCAAGAGGAGGTGAGGAGAGAAAAGCTTACGTATGAGGTTGTTTTTGAGTCGACCCAAAAAGCAATCAGGAGCTGACGAGCAGACTGAGAGCGTATTCCAAAGCACGGACACCATCCGAAGTGGCCCCATCCGAACTTCTTGGGGCTCGGGATGGTGTCTGTGTGGGGCAGGCCCCCACTCTTGACTTTTGGGGTCGCAGGGTTGGCCGGAACGGTCGTCTGACGCAGAGCTGGTTTGGTTTGCTTCGCGCCCAATAGAATCTGCCAGAACCCGTCGCAGTGTAGCCTGCCAAACGTCCAGTTCTGACTTCGCGGGCATTTGTGAAACTTCTGCCGCGAAACTTCGTTTTTTCCCCGCTTTGAACATTCGATTTGGTTGACACTCGCGATCTGGCACTCCATCCCTTCCAACTCTATGCTTCTTGTTTCCCGTGCCTTGAAACCATACAAAATTTGCACTCGTCAGAACACATTCGACACCAACTACTAGCCAGCAAACTTCTTGGATCTGGAGTTTGTTCAACCGACTAGCGCGCGGGTCAGAATGCGTAAAGTTTCGTGACGGTAACTGGTCACGTACTCAGCCTGTCAGGTTCAATGTCCCAATCATACACCAACATGGCATGAAACCCCTTGTCGCATGAAGACGTGCAAGACTGTCGCATGTTACGTGGCCATCAGCTCCAAAGTGTCTTGATGCCGAACCGCGTGGCGCAAAATTGAAATTCGAATTTCCAACATTGCGGACCGCGTGGCCCAACTTCGGATGGTGTCCGTGCTTTGGAATACGCCCTGAGACAGTTTCAAGAGGAGGTGAGGAGAGAAAAGGTTACGTACGAGGTTGTTTTTGAGTCGACCCAAAAAGCAATCAGGAGCTGACGAGCAGACTGAGACAGTTTCAAGAGGAGGTGAGGAGAGAAAAGCTTACGTACGAGGTTGTTTTTGAGTTGACCCAAAAAGCAATCAGGAGCTGACGAGCAGACTGAGACAGTTTCAAGAGGAGGTGAGGAGAGAAAAGGTTACGTACGAGGTTGTTTTTGAGTCGACCCAAAAAGCAATCAGGAGCTGACGAGCAGACTGAGACAGTTTCAAGAGGAGGTGAGGAGAGAAAAGCTTACGTACGAGGTTGTTTTTGAGTCGAAACAAAAAACAATCAGGAGCTGACGAGCAGACTGAGACAGTTTCAAGAGGAGGTGAGGAGAGAAAAGCTTACGTACGAGGTTGTTTTTGAGTCGACCCAAAAAGCAATCAGGAGCTGACGAGCAGACTGAGACAGTTTCAAGAGGAGGTGAGGAGAGAAAAGCTTACGTACGAGGTTGTTTTTGAGTCGACCCAAAAAGCAATCAGGAGCTGACGAGCAGACTGAGACAGTTTCAAGAGGAGGTGAGGAGAGAAAAGGTTACGTACGAGGTTGTTTTTGAGTCGACCCAAAAAGCAATCAGGAGCTGACGAGCAGACTGAGACAGTTTCAAGAGAAGGTGAGGAGAGAAAAGGTTACGTACGAGGTTGTTTTTGAGTCGACCCAAAAAGCAATCAGGAGCTGACGAGCAGACTGAGACAGTTTCAAGAGGAGGTGAGGAGAGAAAAGCTTACGTACGAGGTTGTTTTTGAGTCGACCCAAAAAGCAATCAGGAGCTGACGAGCAGACTGAGACAGTTTCAAGAGGAGGTGAGGAGAGAAAAGCTTACGTACAAGGTTGTTTTTGAGTCGACCCAAAAAGCAATCAGGAGCTGACGAGCAGACTGAGACAGTTTCAAGAGGAGGTGAGGAGAGAAAAGCATGCGTACGCAGTGATGCTCGGGCAGGTGGGTGAGGATGGGAGAAGAGACGAAGTGCGAGCATCACTGCCCAGGCCGTGGTACTGGCTGCGTGTAACTAGGAGCCGACGAACCGACTGTGGCAGTTTCAAGTGGAGGTGAGTATGGAGAGGAGTGGGTGGCAATGCTCTTACTGCCCAGGCTGTGGCTCTTGCTGCTCGCATTCAGGAGCTGACGAGCAGACTGAGAGAGATGGAGGAGGAGGTGAGGGAAGGGGGAAGCGGTGGAGGGAAGTGTTGGGAGGAAGTGATGGGAGTGGAAAAGAATGTGCGCAAAGGGCGAGCGTTACTGTCCAGGGAATGTCTTCATTGTATCCCACCTAAGGGTCGAGATTCATTGCGGAGTAGCTGCAAACCTGTAGAAATCACTTAAGCAAATAGGATTGAGACTGTGGAAAAATGCTTCCAGAAATTCAAGCGGATCTCAAAACCTTCAAACTCAAAAGAACCCTTATTCGCAAACTAGTTGCGGCCTTCGAGACAGAACCCCGCTAGGCCTTCATCAGTGCTGCTTACAGGTTCAAACAAGAAAGAAAGGTCTCGGGCAGAGGCTAGCTAAGTACCATGCTCCTGCCCTCGAGATCTACTTTATTGTAAACCAACTACCCAGATTGCTATGCATACCCAATTGCCAACTAAGCCTGGGGGTAAACCCAATGTGCAGTGTCAGCCTTCGCGAGAAGTCTTCAAACGACTTGATCGGTTCGGTAACCGCGCACGCACATGTAACCTTTGCAGGTTACGGGAACACTTCCAAGCAGTTAAAATCCTCTCCACAAAAATCGTATCAGCTGTTGGTTCACCATTCGAGCTCTGCTCCCAGCAGCGTTGGAGCAGCAGCTCTCAGACGTCAAGCTGCGCCTTGACCGCGCCCTCCACGAATGCTCCTCCCTCGCTCCCGTCCCTATGTGCTCCCATTCCCTCCCTGCCTTATGTGCTCCCACTCTCTGCTCCCACTCCCTCCACAGGGCGACACAGCAGCCTTTGCAGCGTTGGAGCAACAACTCACGGACGTCAAGCTCCGCCGCCTAGATCGCGCCCTCCACGAATGCTCCTCCCTCGCCCCCTGCCCTATGTGTTCCCACTCCCATTCCCTGTCTCTCCCTTATCACAGGGCGACACAGCCGCCTTTGCAGCGTTGGAGCAACAACTCACAGACTTCAAGCTGCGTCTCGACCGCGCCCTCCAGGACTCATCCGTTGGAACAACAACTGACAGACGTCAAACTCCGCCTCGACCGCGCCCTCCACGAATGCTCCTCCCTCGCCGGCACCAGCAGCGGCAGAGCAGCGCTGGGAGGGGCTCTGGGGCTGGATGCCTCTGGATGGAAAGATCACCATGAATATCCCATCTCCCCTCCCGTCATATGCACCTCTCACTTCCCTCTCCCCTCCCCTTCCTCACTCCCCTTAATACTACCTCAACAGGGCGACACAGCAGCATTCGCAGCGTTGGAGCAACAACTGACAGACGTCAAACTCCGCCTCGACCGCGCCCTCCACGAATGCTCCTCCCTCGCCGGCACCAGCAGCGGCAGAGCAGCGCTGGGAGGGGCTCTGGGGCTGGATGCCTCTGGATGGAAAGATCACCATGAATATCCCATCTCCCCTCCCGTCATATGCACCTCTCACTTCCCTCTCCCCTCCCCTTCCTCACTCCCCTTAATACTACCTCAACAGGGCGACACAGCAGCATTCGCAGCGTTGGAGCAACAACTGACAGACGTCAAGCTGCGCCTCGACCGCGCCCTCCACGAATGCTCCTCCCTCGCCGGCACCAGCAGCGGCAGAGCAGCGCTGGGAGGGGCTCTGGGGCTGGATGCCGCTGGAAACATCGCCATGAACATGGTCCCGAACAGCAGCAGCGGGGGGGGTTTGGCTGCGTTAGGGTTAGGGTTAGGGTCTGCTAGGCGGATGGGCGCTGGTAGTTATTTTCCCGATGCTGCCGGGGCTGCTGGGGGGGGAGCAGGGCGCGTGGGGGGAAAGGGAGGCGGAAAAGGAGGAGGGGGGATGGGAGGAGGGGAGGGTGATGGGTTGAATCTTCAGGTGGCTTTGGAGAGGGCGCCGTTTATGATCGCGCACCTGGACACGAGTTTGAGATACACCTGGGTGTTCAACCACAACCTGCTGGTCAATCAGGTGAAAACAACAGAGGTCAGGTGAATCTTCAGGTGGCTTTGGAAAGGGCGCCTTTTATGTTCTCTGGATACGAGTTTGAGATACACCTGGGTGTTCAACCACAACCTGCTGGTGAATCAGGTGAGAACAACAGAGCTCAGGTGAATCTGGGCTTATGGAAGATGGAGGGTTTCCGGGTCGACTCATAAGCCGGCCTTAGCACCTCCTTATATTGACTTTTGAGTCGACTCATAAGCCGGCCTTAGCACCTCCTTATATTGACTTTTGAGTCGACTCATAAGCCGGCCTTAGCACCTCCTTGTATTGACTTTTGAGTCCACTCATAAGCCGGCCTTAGCACCTCCTTATATTGACTTTTGAGTCGACTCATAAGCCGGCCTTGGCACCTCCTTGTATTGCTCCAATCCAAGGCTCTTCATCTTTTGAGGCGCCTCAAAAGTCATAAGCCGGCCTTAGCACCTCCTTATATTGCTCCAATCCAAGGATCTTTCCATGTTTTTTTGCGACCCTATACTCCTCTTCCCCCACCAACTCCCTTTTCCCACGTCCTGGCTTCTCTCCTCCTCCCCCTCGCCATCCCAACCGTCCAATCAGGACATGATTGGAAAGAGGGATTTTGACATCCTGCCACGTGGCACTCTGGGAGTGGAGGAGGCGATGGAGATGAAGCAGAGGGCGCTAGCCACCCCACTTCTCTTACACTCCTTCCCTTCCCACTTCTCTTTTTCCTCCCAACTCCCTTTCTTCCCAACCCCGCTCCCAACTCCCCTTCCCCCCCATCTCCCATTCCCCCATCCCCATCACCGTTCAGGATATGATCGGCAAGAGGGACTATGATATCCTGCCACGTGGCACTCTGGGAGTGGAGGAGGCGATGGAGATCAAGCAGCGGGCGCTGGCCACAGGCAAGGCGCAGCGGGGCGAGGTGGTGTGGCAGCTTCCCACTGCCACCACTTCCTACCCCTCCAAACCCCTCATTCACCCCTTCTCTGCTTAAGCTCCCTTTCCTCTTTCCCACCACCTCCCCTTCCCTCACCCCCACTCCCTCTCTTGTTTCTCCGGTCCCCGCTCCCCATTGAACCAGGATATGATTGGGAAAAGGGACTATGACATTCTGCCACGTGGCACTCTAGGAGTGGAGGAGGCGATGGAGATCAAGCAGCGGGCGCTGGCCACAGGCAAGGCGCAGCGGGGCGAGGTGGTGTGGCAGCTTCCTGGAAGGCCCCCCATGGTGTGGGTGACAACTGCCCGGCCAATCAGAGACGAGAAGGGGCGGACTGTGGGAGTGACTACATCGAGTGTGGACATAACAGAGGAGGTATTACGAAGGGCAGGGGCCAGGGAGAGGGGGAAGGGAGGGAGGGAAGGGAGGTTGAAAGGTGGGGGATACTTATAGGTCGTTATTTAGAGTTTTCTTAAACTGTCTGCAAAAAGAAGGGATGTATGTATGTGCTTGTAGGAGAGTGATGCATTCATGCTGTGGGTGATGACTGCTCGTCCAATCAGGGACGAAAAGGGGCGGACTGTGGCGGTGACTACATCGAGCGTGGATATAACAGAGGAGGTATTACCACCCTCCCCTTTCCTCCCTGTCCCCTTCCCCCCGCCCACCCTCCCCACTCTCGACTCCCCCTTTCCTCCCGTCCCCCTCCCCCCACCTCCCCCCCCCCCCCCCCCCCCCCCCCCCACCAGGCGCAGTACAAGGAGCGGCTGATGGCTCTGAGGGCGGAGATGATGGTGCGCAGCACAACGGAGAAGGAGCTGCTCTCTCCCCTCTGCTCCTCACCCCCTCTTCCCCTTCATTCCCCACTCCCTCTTGTTGCTGCTGCTGCTGCTGCTGCTGCTGCTGCTGCTGTTGCTGCTGATTTACCCCTTCCCTCCTTCCCCACCCCCTTCCCCACCTCCCCCCCACCAGGCGCAGTACAAGGAGCGGCTGATGGCTCTACGAGCGGAGATGATGGTGCGCAACACAACGGAGAAGGAGCTGCGGCGAGCATACGAGCTCACAGAGGACGCCATGCGCGCCAAGTCCATGTTCCTCGCCATCATGTCCCACGAAATCCGCACGCCCCTCAACGGGATCCTCGGATTGGCCGAAGTTCTGCTCGAATCTGGAGCGTTGGATGAGGAGCAGCGCGAGATCGTCGAGACGATGATGTCATCGGGCGTGATCATATCAGATATTCTCGCGGATATTTTAGATCTCGCGAGTATGGAAGCCGGGGAGATGAAGCTGGAGGAGCACCCCTTTGAGCCGGTCGCGGTGGTGAATCATATCTTAAAAATGGCCATGGCTGCTACTAAGGAGAAGGGGATCAAAGTCCTAGCGGATATATCTCCGGACATTCCGGCGCAGATTTTAGGAGACGAGTTGCGCGTGCGGCAGGTGATTAAATACCTGGTTCTGAACGCGATTAAGTTCACGCACACGGGGCATATCTTGCTGCGGGTGTCGGCACATGATAGGGATCCGTCTGCTGCTATTGTGAAGGCTACTGGCGCGTATGCTGTGGGGGGATGGAATGTTCCCGGAGGGGGGGGAGGGGGAGCAGGAGGAGGAGCAGCAGGGGGTTCTGGTGCTGCTGCTACCTTAGGCCGGGGGAAAGGGCTGGCTGTGGAAATGCACAGTCATAATAAGGGCGCGAGGGCAGGGGGAAGCGGGCGGTTACCGCTGCTGTCCGATGTTACGGAGGAGCATTTGAAGAAGCTGGCAAGTTTGGGGAGTTTGGAGCAGGCTGCGCCGCTATTGGCCGAGCTTCCGACTGAGGAGTATGAGGAGGAAGAGGAGGAAGAGGATGGGGATAGCGAGAGGACGAGAGGGGAGGAGGAGGGGGGAATGCTGAGACCTGGAGGGGGAGGAGCAGGAGGAGGGTTCTGGGGCTCGATTGTACCAGCAGGAGGAGCAGAGAAGGGGAAGGGGAAAGCGACAGAAGTGGAGAGGCAGATAGGCGGGGATATGGACGTGTGGTTGTGGTGCGAGGTGCACGACACAGGCGTAGGGATCCCCAAAGACGCCTTCCCTCTCCTCTTTGAGAAATTCACCCAAGTGGAAGGCGGTCCGACGCGAGCCTACGGCGGCACGGGGCTGGGACTAGCTATCTGCAAGCAGCTGGTAGAGCTCATGCACGGGAAGATGGCAATCAAGTCCAAGGTGGGAACCGGGTCGGTGTTTGCGTTCTCGGTGTGCTGCCAGCGGACCTCCCCCCGCTCCCGCCCGGCCTCGCCCACGGGCGCGAGCGCGATTGCTGCGGCTGTGAACGCGCCGTTCGGGTTTCCCAAGAGTGTGTCTGTGTCGGGGCCTTCGCCTGGGTCTGTGGCCAGGGCGCTGTCGCCTGTGAGGGAGCATATGGGGCAGGTGGGGGGAGGAATGGGGGGGGGCGAGGATGAGTATACAGAAGAGGAGGAGGAGGAGGAGGACGAGGAGGGGGATTATGAGAGTGAATATACGAATGACTCGCCGATTGCGATCACGCCGAAGCACCTGCGGCAACCACGGGGAGCAGCAGCAGCAGCAGGAGCAGCAGCAGGAGCAGGAGCAGGAGCAGCGGGAGCGGGAGCAGGGGTGGTGGGAGGGGGGCTGGCGGGGCTGCTGGCCCGAGCCAAGGCGATGAAAGGGGAGGTGGGGGGTTCAGGGGAGGGGTTATCTGGGGGAGGCGCATCTGGTGCAGGCGCCATAGGAGGAGCTGGGTCGGTGCCGTCTCTGTCCCCTGCTTCGGCCAAAGGCCCAGAGACAAAGATTCTTGTGGCTGAAGACAACCCCGTGAGTGTGGGGTGCGGTGCGGTGGGGTGGGAAGGGGTGGGGTTGGGTGGAGTGAGCTGAGCCTGTGGGGTGTCTATAGGGTTACTGGGAGGAAACAACTGGGTCGCTGCCTTCTCTGTCCCCCGCCTCGGCCAAAGGCCCAGAGACCAAGATCCTGGTGGCTGAAGACAACCCCGTGAGTCCTGAGGTTATGTTTGAGTTGTGGGGTGGGGTGGGGTGGGGTGGGGTGGGGTGGGTTGGGTTGGGGTGGGGTGGGGTGGGGTGGGGTGGAGTGGGGTGGGTTGGGTCGGGGTGGGGTGGGGTGGGGTGGGGTGGGGTGGAGTGGGGTGGGGTGGGGTGGGGTGGGGTAAGCCCGTGCCTTCCCTGTCCCCTGTATCAACCAAAGGCCCAGAGACGAAGGTCGTTGTTGCTGAAGGCAATCCTGTGAGTGTTGCTGTGGGGCGGGATGCGGAGGAGGCAGTTAGGATGAGAGGAAGTGTTTGGCCTGCTCGTGTGGCTGGCGGAAATGCCCCCAGTCTCACTCAGCTCCTATCCCTCCCATGCCATGTCATGCCCTCCCCGCTCCCCCTTCAGGACAGGGTGAACGTGAGCATGGACGTGCTGCTGTCCATGCTCAAGCGCCTGGGCCTGCGAGCCACAGTGCGAGCCACAGTGCGAGCCACACACACTGGCCAAGAACGAGGGGTGGATGGATGAAGCCGTGCTGTTTGATCCGCTGCTCTCAGGCTTGACTCAGCTCCTTTCGCTGCCTGCCCCACACCCGCTTCCCTTGAACCCCAGGTCAACGTGATGGTGCTGCTCTCCATGCTCAAGCGCCTGGGGCTGCGCGCCACAGTGGCCAAGAACGGTGTGGAGGCGTTGGAAGCGGTGCGGAAGGAGCGGTTTGACCTGCTGCTGTCGGACCTCTGCATGCCCCTCATGGATGGGTTGCAGGTACGCGTTGACTTCGGTTGACTTGGGTTGACTTTTGCTGACTCCTTGTGGACGCATATCGAGGGTTGTTGAAGACATAGGCAGTGAAGAAGGAGCGGTTTGACCTGCTGCTGTCGGACCTCTGCATGCCGCTCATGGACAGGCTACAGGTAGGCGTTGACTCCCGTCGCCTCCCGTTGACTCCCGTTGACTCCCTTTGACTCCCGTTGACTCCCGTTGACTCCTGTTGACTCTCGTTGACTCCCGTTGGCTCTCGTTGACTCCCGTTGACTCTCGTTGACTCCCGTTGGCTCTCGTTGACTCTCCTAAGTTGTTCAAACAAGGGCCCTGTTCGACTGGCGCATCAGGCACAGGCTCGGGTACCGGCAACAGTAAAGTGTGCTCCCTCGAAGCTTCTGAGATAAGCGAACAAGTGTTGACTCGGGTCTGGGATCAGCTGACTCGGGTCTGGGATCAGCTGACTCGGGTCTGGGATCAGCTGACTCGGGTCTGGGATCAGCTGACTCGGGTTTGGGATCAGCTGACTCGGGTCTGGGATAGGCGCATGAGCACCGAAGCGAACTGGTGCATGATGCCAGCCGAACACCCTTTTTGGCCCCAGGTTTGGGATCTGAATGGCGTTCCCGGAACTCTCCTCTCCTGGCAAACCGACGCACCACTGATGCGCGGATAGTGCATCCGTGGAGAGCTAGCACCATGCGTGCACCAGCTGATGCGCGGATGGTGCATCCGTGGAGAGCTAGCACCATGCGTGCACCAGCTGATGCGCGGATGGTGCATCCGTGGAGAGCTAGCACCATGCGTGCACCAGCTGATGCGCGGATGGTGCATCCGTGGAGAGCTAGCACCATGCGTGCACCAGCTGATGCGCGGATGGTGCATCCGTGGAGAGCTAGCACCATGCGTGCACCAGCTGATGCGGGGCAGCATAAGGTGCCCGCCAAGAATCATCCAGCGAGCTTTTCCCCGCACAAACGAACACCCCCTCCTAAAAAAGTTTGGTCCCTTCCCTGCAAGCGTGGGGGCAAAACAGCCCTGACATGTGTGTGGCAAAACAGCAGGAAACGCAACACATATACCTTCCGCGAGATTGAAGAAAGGTTTTGAGACGTCTCAAAACCCTTCCGCGAGTTTGACAAACTTGACAGACCAATTGGACTGTTTTGACCAACCCCAAACCACTACCTCTCGTTTGAGCACCACATCCGAGCCTGAGCTGGTACCTGAGCACCACATCCGAGCCTGAGCTGGTACCCGAGCCTCACCACTGATGCGCCAGTGGAATAGGGTGAAGAAAGTGGATCGGTGAACTTAGGGCACGATAGGAAGAAGAAATCTCCTTAGCAAGAAAATGGTACAAGTCTTAAAGACTAGAGCAAGGTCCTTGTCAAGGATAATCCCTAGTGAAGTGGGAAGCCACATATATGTGGCTGAACTCTTGAGGCTAGCTGCAGCACCTCAATGCTGAGGGCTAGGCTAGCCAACCTTGCCAAGCTAGCAAGTGAGGCCACATGTTGCACATGTGGGCCAGGCTGGAACAACAGCCCACATGACAGCATATGGCACACCATAGAGGCCAGCAAGGTGAGTGTGGGATGAGTGGACAGGTGGCAATGTCAGCTGTGACCACACTTCACTGTGGTGGAGTGTGGTAGAGTGTGGACATGTAATGTGGAGCATAATGAGAAGGGAACCTGCAGCTACTGAGAATTGAACCCACAACCTCTAAGACCACAGGTGAGAATCTACCATCCGGGACATATTTGCTGCACAACACCCCCCCTCAAGGATGTCCCCGGGGTAGGGTTCTTCAAGCGGAGACATGGGTGAGACCGAGAAGACCACGGATGCGTAGAAAAGGGTCACGGGGCAAAGGTTTGGTGCCAATGTCAGCGAGGTTGTCTTGAGTAGGAACATAGTGAAGGGTGACGGAGTGGTCGGCGACATGATCACGAATGAAATGGTGCTTGATGTCGATGTGTTTGGCCTTGGGATGAAAGACGCCGTCGTCCTTGGCCAGAATGATGGCGGCGCTGTTGTCACACGAGATGCGGGTGGGGCCGGGTGGGGGAAGTCCAAGTGCAGTAAGGAGGGATCGAAGCCATAAGGCCTCATGCACCGCGGCGCCCAGAGAATAGTATTCAGCTTCACATGAGGAGGTAGCGACGACAGCTTGACGTTTGGACTGCCAAGAGATGAGTGACGGACCGAGGAAGAACAAGTAGCACGTAACGGAGCGTCGGAGCTCGCCCTCCGGTCCCCAAGAGGCGTCACACCACCCATGGAGTTCAAGGGTGTTGGGAATGCCGCCAAGGAGAAGCCCGAGTGAGGTAGTCCCTTTCAAGTAGCGAGCAACGCGTTTGGCAGCCGAGACGTGAGGAGTAGACCAATCATGAAGGTGACGAGCAAGAACTCCAGCGCTATATGCGAGGTCGGGACGGGAACCCACCATGGCATACATGATGGATCCGACAAACGAGGTGTAAGGAAAGGAGGAGGAGTGTGGTGAGGAAGTCACGGGCGGCTGAAACTTGGTGTCCATGGGGGTGGCAGCAGGGTTAAGTGGTGTGAATGAGTAGGTGTCTAAGATGGAGGTGATGAATTTGGATTGATGAAGGTGGAGAGTGCGTGAGGTCCGATCACGAGTGATGTGAAAGCCAAGGTAGTAGGAAAGAGGACCGAGGTCACGAAGCTTGAAGCGAGATGAAAGGGCACGCTTGAATGAGGAGAGAAGAGAAGAGGAGGAAAGAATGATGAGGTCGTCAACATAGACGAGAAGCATGAAGAAAGATGCAGCTGTAGGCCGATAAGGAGATTGTGGAGTAGCAATGAAGAGGCCGGGGTCCGCACGGGCAGCAAAAAGGTGAAATGCAACAAGCTCTTCACGAAGTTTGCGGTACCAGCACCGCGGCGCTTGCTTCAACCCGTACAACGGTTTGTGCAAGAGACAAACTTGCTCAACACCATGGACCGCCGGAAGCTCATAACCGGGAGGCTGCATCATGTAGAGAATTTCATCAAGAGTGCCGTTGAGGAAGGCGTTGGAAATGTCCAGCTGATGGACTTCCAGGTCGAAAGCGGCAGCAATGGTGAGGAAGAGGCGGAGGGTGGCGAAGCGAACGGTAGGAGCAAAGGTGTCATGGAAATCAACACCGTCGCGTTGTTTGAAACCTTTGACAACAAGGCGGGCCTTGCGGCGTTCAATAGAACCATCAGCATGCTCCTTGACCTTAAAAATCCATTTGCATGGAATCGGTTTGCACTTGGGTGGTCGAGGAACAACGCTGTAAGTGTCATTAGCGTGCAGGGCAGCGAGGTCCGCATCAGCAGCCTTGATCCATTCAGCAGCATCAGGGCCGGTGCGGGCCTCATGAATGTTTTGAGGTTCGTAATGATGATGAAGGGCGGCATTAGCAGAGGGCTTGGAAAGAGGAGGAAGGGTGAAGTCAATGGGTTCAGAAGGAGAGGGTAGGACCTTGAGCAGTGAGAAAAGTGAAGGATTGGAAGGAGCTGAAGGGGATGGTGGTGAGGAACTAGAGGTGCAAGGGGGAGGACGAGCTGAAGAAGGAGAGGAGAGGGATGGAAGGCGGAAGTCTTGCGGCGTCGAGGGCAGAGGAAGATTGGAAAACAAAGGAGGAGGAGAAGAGGTTGCTGGTGCTGGCAGATTTGGAGATGGGGGGAGGAGGGTGGTGGAAGAGGTCATGGGAGGTGAACGAGAGGGAGGGGAGGTTGGGTCTGAGAGGGAAGGGGGTGGAGGAGGAGGCGGAGAGGATGATATGGGTGGTGGAGATGACGATGGAGGTTCCCGAGGGTCATCCGAAGGTGGCGAAGAGGGCTCCATGAAGATGACATCACGAGAAAGTGTGACACAGTGCTGAGTTGGGATATAGATGCGATAAGCTTTGGTGCCGTCAAGATGACCATACCCAACCATGACGCCGGCCGTGCTTCGGTCGTCGAGTTTGGAGCGGCGTTGCGGAGGAACGAGGACTGAAACGGGTGAACCGAAGATGCGGAGGTGGGATACGTCCGGACGTGCACCGGTCCATAGTTCTATGGGAGTCTTGGAAGCTGAACCACCCCGACTAATAGCATGATTTCGGAGATAGGCAGCAGTGAGAGCGGCTTCACCCCACCATCCTCTGTCCATGTGTGCGTCATGAAGCATGGAACGGACCATCTCAAGTATAGTCCGATTGGCGCGTTCAGCAACTCCATTTTGTTCGGGTGTGTATGGCGTAGAGCGGTGTCGAGCGATGCCATGAGCATTAAGGAATGAAGTGAAGGCCTCGGAATTGAACTCCAAGGCACCATCGGAGCGAAACGCTTTGATGGTCCTTGGGGAATGCATATTGTGCACCCGAGTGACGTACGCTTTGAAGCACGACAATGCCTCTGAACGATGGCGTAGTAGATACACGGTAATGTGGCGGGAATAGTCGTCGATGAAGGTGAGAAGGTAGCGAGCGCCTCCAATGGTAGTTCCATATGAAAAGGGTCCAGCAATATCCGAATGAATGAGTTGGAGCGGTGCGGTGGTGCGAGAATGGGACACACCAAATGGTTGACGCGTTTGTTTCCCACGATAGCACGAGATGCATTGAGGAATTGAGGAGGAGGAGAGGTTAAGACCGGAGACCAGCTGCTGCCGATGAAGTGTTGACAAGTCCCGCATGTTAAGATGCCCGAAACGGCGATGCCAAAGGTATGAGGAGGAGGTGGTGGAGACTGGACATGCCGATGGGTTGATGGGGGGGGCGGCACTCTTTCCATGATGCAGCTGAAGATAGAACAGATTGTTGCGGGTAAAGCCTTCGCCAATAAGAGCCTCATCAGTCTTGAGCTCAACCCGCCCAGCAATGGGGAAGGAAACGGTAATGCCGGCAGCTCCAAGTGCACGAACTGAGAGCAGATTGTGAACCGATGAAGGGAGAAACAGAACGTTGTCTAGCTGAATGGTGGTTTCCGAGGTTTGGGAACGAAGAGTAGCCACCACCGTGCCGACTCCCAAGACCTTGTAAGTCTCTCCGCCACCAAAGCGAACGATAATATCATCAGTTGGCTGCTGGAGAGATGAAAACAGCGAGCGATCGGAGCAGATATGGGAAGATGCGCCGCTGTCCACCAGCCAGGAAGACGTCCGGACCAGGTTTGATGAAGAGGCCGTGAATGCCGATGCATAGGGAGCACCATAAGGGAAGAGGAGGAGGAGGAGGAGGAGGAGGAGGATGGTGAAGATGAAGAGAGTAGCGACGAGAGGAGTCCAGGTGGGGAGGATGGAGCCGTGGCTGGTGCTGAAAGCAATGTCAACGTACCGGGAATCAGGTACGGACTGAGAGGCTGATGGGGCAGTAGGTGTTGTGGAGGTCGAAGGGATGTCGGCGGAGGAGCTTGTTGACACATGCACCGAAGGCTGGATGACAGATTTCTCCCGTCGAGAGCTTTCTTCGATCTCTTTCTTCTTCTTCAACTTGAAGCATTCGTCAATAGTGTGTCCGGTTTTCTTGCAGTAGCGGCAAGTAGGGGACTGGCGGGAACCGGAGCGAATAGGGTGGGAGGGCTGGGAATGGAGGTTGTATGCACCTTCCATGTTGCGGCTTGTACCAGATTGTGACCGCTCCCAATTGGCATCGAGTAGACGTGACTGCAGGTATTCAACCGTCATAGACTTGATGTCTTTCACGGTGCAAATAGTTTCTGTGAGAGTCTTGAAGGAGTCCGGCAGATTGAGAATGATGGAGATTACCACCACCCAAGATGGTAACTCGAAGCCGGCAGATTTGAGTTGGTGCGTAAGATTTCCAACTCGATCGAAGTAGGAGCGAAGACTCATTGTTGGGTCCATCCGTGTAGTGATGAGATCTCGGAGGAGAGCCACTTGTGCATGGTTACCCATGCAGTCAAACCGCGCCATGATGCATCCCCACATGTCCTTCGTCGTGTTGGCTTGAGCAAGTGTGAGCGAGAGCTGAGGATGGACGGCTGACATGAGAAGATAGTACGCATGCTCCTCTTTTTCTTCATCCGGCAGCGACGCAATCGAGTGGGCTGTTTTAGGGGCTGCACCATTGTTGCCTTCAGTAGCATCTCCACTGCTGGTCGTGGAGGAGGAAATGGAAGGGCGGGAAGCAACCTTGGGATCTCCAAGAAAGGAGATCAGCCCAAGGACATTAAAGATGTAGCATATCTTTTTCTTCCATGGAATGAAGTTGGAACCATCCGGTTCCAAGATAGGAAGGGTGTGCCGACCGAGAGGCGTCTCAACTTGAGCCATCAAGTGTGCGACGTTCACAAAGCTAGAAGCCTAGCTCTGATAGCATGAAGAAAGTGGATCGGTGAACTTAGGGCACGATAGGAAGAAGAAATCTCCTTAGCAAGAAAATGGTACAAGTCTTAAAGACTAGAGCAAGGTCCTTGTCAAGGATAATCCCTAGTGAAGTGGGAAGCCACATATATGTGGCTGAACTCTTGAGGCTAGCTGCAGCACCTCAATGCTGAGGGCTAGGCTAGCCAACCTTGCCAAGCTAGCAAGTGAGGCCACATGTTGCACATGTGGGCCAGGCTGGAACAACAGCCCACATGACAGCATATGGCACACCATAGAGGCCAGCAAGGTGAGTGTGGGATGAGTGGACAGGTGGCAATGTCAGCTGTGACCACACTTCACTGTGGTGGAGTGTGGTAGAGTGTGGACATGTAATGTGGAGCATAATGAGAAGGGAACCTGCAGCTACTGAGAATTGAACCCACAACCTCTAAGACCACAGGTGAGAATCTACCATCCGGGACATATTTGCTGCACAACACAGGGCCAAGGTTGACTCAGGTTGACACGTATCAGAGGTGGTGAGTGAAGGAGCGGTTTGACCTGCTGCTGTCGGACCTCTGCATGCCGCTCATGGACGGGCTGCAGATAGGAATTGACTCCCGTCGACTCCCGTTGACTCTCGTTGACTACCTGCAAGTGCGTTGGCTCCCGTTGACTTTGGTAGACTTCGGTTTACTCGCTCGTTGACTCCCTTGTTCACTCTTCTTGACTCTTTCTAAGTTTGTTGAACCCATACACCAACCCCTACCACAGGCCACCCACTTAATCCGGCAGTATGAGCACACGGGCGTGTTTCCAGAGGAGGAGGTGGAGCGAGCGAAGTACAGAGGAGCGCCGGCAGGGGATGAGAAGTCCAGCCTAACCTGGCAACCCCCCTCCAACCTCCCCCTCCCACCCCTCACCTTCTGCTTGCCCCGTCGTACTCATGCCGCGCCAAATGCTGCCTGCTGTTTCTTCCTGTTTTTCAACCCATTTATCCCCAACAGAAACCCACCACAGGCAGCCTATTTAATCCGGCAGTATGAGCGCACGGGGGTGTTTCCAGAGGAGGAGGTGGAGCGAGCAAAGCACAGGGGAGCGCCGGCAGGGGATGAGAAATCCGGAATCGCCTGGCAACCCCCTTCCAACCTCCCCCTCTCGTCCGCCTCCCACCTTCTGCTTGCCTGTTTCATTCACGCCGTGCCACCTGTGCCAAATGCTATCTGCCTCTCCGTCTGTCTTTCAATCCGTCCCGTTCATCTCTACCCCAACCGCAGGCCGCCTACCTGATTCGGCAGTATGAGCGCACGGGGGTGTATCCAGAGGAGGAGGTGGAGCGAGCGAAGCACAGAGGAGCGCCGGCAGGGGATGAGAAGTCCGGAATCGCCTGGCAACCCCCCTCCAACCTCCCCCTCTCCTCCCACCGAGGGGCCCTGCCTCGCCTCCCCATCATAGCCGTTACCGCAAACGCTCTTAAGGAGGATGAAGAGCGGTGCTATGCGGTGGGGATGGACGGGTTCCTGGGGAAACCGGTGCAGTTTCCGAAGCTGAAAGAGGCGATTTCTGAGTTTATAGAACTCCCCGGGTCACGATTGCTGCAAGGAGCCGGGAGTGGTATGAGTGGAGGAGTTGGGAGAGGGGGAATTGGGCAATCTAACCCCAATTCAGGGGCATCGGGAGGGTTAATATCCATGGGGAGCGGGGTAGCAGCGCTGCTAGCAGGGATCCCCCCACAGGCCGCCGGCGCCCCTGGGTTTCCCGCCCCGTCCAAGCTCTCGGGCGGCGTCCAGCGTCTCGTAGTGCCCGCCCGGCCGAGCAGCTACAGTGGCTCAGGGTCGGCGAGCGGCAGCATGACTTACACAGGGGATGAGGAGGATTATCAAGGAGAAGAGGGGGAATTCGATGATGAGTACGATGATGAGTATGATGATTACGAGTCGACTGTTTACTCGCCTAGATCCGCAGCGGTTCGACGCGGTGCCAGGACTCCTGGAGGGGCGAGCACGGCTAGAACCCCCGGGGGAGCGAGTATGGCTAGAACCCCGGGAACCACTAGAAGCTTCCGAACGTCGATGTTTTACGATGGGAGGGAGGATAGGAGCGTGTATGGGGGGACAGGGAGTGTGTATGGGGGTGCGGAGAGCGTGTATGGGGGCGCGGCTAGTAGCGTGGGTGGGTATAGTCGCGCCACAGGTGTTACTGGTGTTACCGGTGTTACAGGAATAACGGGAGTGACTGGTGTGACTGGGACGACGAAGGGTGGCAGGGGGAGGGGCATGTCTAGGGAGGAAGCAGCAGCAAGGGAATCGGCTATGAGGGAGGCGTATAACAGGTACTTTTTGAATGCGGGTCTGCCTCCCACCACGGCTGCTGCGGCCGCGGCAGCGGCAGTAGCTGCAGCAGCGACTGCTGCTGCTCGTGCTGGTAATGGTGGTGGTGGTGGTGGGGGTGGGGGTGGGGGAGGAGGAGGTTTTCCCAGGAATAGGTCTGTTGCAGAGTCTTCGTATGTTTCTGGGAGGTCTTCTGGAGATGAGCTATCGATTTATTCGAAAACAACTGGAGGGACAGGGAGGGGAGGGAGGGGAGGCATGGGCATGGCAACAGGCACGAGCAGCACTGGGACAGGTTCGGAGAGTGGGACGGAGACTGGGACTGGCTCGGATCTCGGTTCGGAGACAGGTACGGGAACGACTGATTTTCATGCGCAGAGAGTGGTGACGTTGCGAGGGGGGACCGCGCCCCTGGGAGGGGGGATGGGAGGAGGTGGGGGCGTGGGAGGGATGGGAGGAGGAATGGGAGGGTTAAGAGGGACGGGAGGGGTGGGAGGGGCAGGATTCGGAGCAGGAGGGCTAGCAGGTGGAGCAGGGCTGGCAGGAGGAGCAGGGTTAGCAGGAGGGGGAGCAGCTGGGGGATTGTCAGGAGCAACTGCTGCTAATATAGCAGCACTGCGCTATCTTACTGCCCGCGCTGCAGGTAATACTGGGGTAGGTGGAACTGGGTTAAGTGGTTTAACAGGGGCTGGTAACCCTGCAGGGGCAGCTGGCACAGGGTATAATTTGGGCAATAACCCGAACCTGTATAGGGGTACGGGTGCGGGAATGGGAGGGCCGGGGTCTATAGGGGGTAGTTCCCTGTCGTCTTTTTCTCATCCCCAAAGGAATTTGGCTCAAGGAGGGAGGCTTTTGGGAGGGAATTTGGCTTATAACGGAGGTGCTTATAATGCAGCGTTGGGTGGTGGGGCGGGTGTTGGGGGAGTGGGAGGGGGGTTGGGAGGGGCAGGAGGCCTGGGCGGAGGTTTGGCAGGAGGCTTGGGGGGAGGTATGGGAGGAAGTTTGGCAGGTGGTTTGGGAGGAGTGGGAGGAAGAGGTGGGCTGGGTGGACTTGGGGGTTCATCTTTCCAGCAGTTGCAGCAGCTACAGCAGCAGCTGCAGCAGCAGCACCAGCAGCAACAGCAGCAGCAGCAACAGTTGTTGAGTAGCTATGGAGGTTTGGGAGGAGCAGGAGCAGGAGCCGGGTTGGCAGGAGGATTGGGAGGAGGTTTGGGAGCAGGGATGGGAGCAGGGATGGGAGCAGAGTTGGGAGGAGGGATGGGAGGAGGGACGGGAGGAGGAATGGGAGGAGCAGCAGGGTTTGGAGTGGGCAGCACGAGCAGCAGCAGCTTGCACCCTGGAGCAAGACAAGGGACACGACCAGGCGCAACACTCCCCCCCACTGCTGCAGCAGCTGCTGCTGCTGCTGTGGCTGCGGGTAGGAGGAGGCCTATCGCGAGTGCCACTGTAGCGGGGAATGGTGGTGCGTTTCTGAGGCAAAACGTGGGATCAGGTGGTAATGCTGCTGCTGGTGGTGGTGCTGCTGCTGCTGCTGCTGCTGGCACTGGTGGTCGTGGTGGTGCTGCTGGTGCTGGTGGTTTGGATGTTAACGGTGGTGGCTTTGGTATTGGTGGTGGAGGGGCGAATGGTCTTGGGGCAGGTGGAATCGGGGCAGGTGGATTAGGAGGAGGTGGGTTAGGAGGAGGTGGATTTTCCAGTCAGGCAGCAGGTGGGATGGCAGGAGGAGCACCAGGTGGGATTTCAGGTGGGATTTCAGGTGGGAATCTGGTCCCTCCGCCTCCTGCAGGGGCCTCTCAGGCACAGCAGCTGCAGTACCTTATTCAGCAGCAGCAGATGCTATTGGCCCATACACACGCTCAGATACAAGCAAGGCAGCAGCAGCAGCAGCAGCTGCAGCAGCAACAGCAGTTGCAGCAGCAGCGGCAGCAGCTGCAGCAACAGCAGCAGCAATTGCTGGCAGCAGGAGGGTTGGGGAGGAACTTAGGGGGAGGTATGGCTGGTAGCACGGGGTTAAGTGCTGGTGGCGTGGGAGCGATGGGGTTAAGTGGTGGTGGTGTGGGGAATTTGGGGTTAAGTGCTGGAGGTTTGGGAGGTATGGGGTTAAGTGGTGGTGGTGCTGGTATGGGTGCTGGTGTAGGGGGGCTGGGAGGAGGTTTGATGAATCGAGGAGGGATGGGATTGGCAGGTATGGGAACCGCAGGTTTGGGAGCAACAGGCTTGGGAGCAGCAGGCTTAGGAGCAGCAGGTTTGGGAGCAGCAGGCTTGGGAGCTGCAGGCTTGGGAGCAGCAGGAATGGGAGCGAGAACTGGAGCACTGGGGGCAGGCGGGATGGCCAATGCTGGCTCTCTAGCAGCATTGGGGCTAGGAGGAGGAACAACGGGAGGGCAATTGCGGAGTGAATTTCAAGGAATGGGAGGGGTAGGGGACAGGGGAAGAGGAGAGATGGGAGGAGGAGCAGGAGCAGGGGCAGGAGGAGGAGGACGAGGAGGAGGAGGGGTGCGGGGCACTGTAGCAGCCCGGGTCGCCCCTCAGCGCCGCCCGGAGTTCCTGGCCGGTGCAGTTACCAGCGAGAGCAGGTTCGGCGAGGAGAGCTACAGTGAGAGCGAGAGCACGAACGCCCGGAGCCGCGGCAGGTTCGGCGGAGGTCCGGGAATGGGCCGCGAAGGCTCGGGGATCGGGCAGAGCATGATCGGGGGGAGCTCGAGGGAAGGTGGGGGGTCTGTTACTTCGTCTATGCTGAAAGGGAGTGTGGGGGCGGGACTGGGGGGGGTGAATCTGAGAGATGGGGGGTTTGTGAGTAGGTATGGGCAGAGCCCATATCCTAGAGCTGGGGCGAGTGGGGGTGGGGGTAAATGGAGCGAAAGTCATACCTCCCGAACCACTTCTTCAGCTAAGGGCAGGGATCTTGACAGGAGAGGTATGGGAGGAGGTATGGGAGGAGGGATGGGAGGAGGGATGGGAGGAGGGATGGGAGGGATGGGAGGAGGGATGGGGGGAATGGGAGGCGGCATGGGAGGAGGGGAAGAAGGGGATGGGAGGAGAGGGGGGTATCAAGGAGGGTCCCCTCCTAGGATGGCTGCAGGGCAAGCGGTTTCAGCAGCAGCAGCAGCCGCAGCAGCAGCGGCTGCAGCAGCAGCAGCATCACAGAGAGCACTGGCAGCCACCTCTGCCGGAGCTGCAGCCATGGCAGGCCGAGCCGAGATGGTTCGGGAAGAGGAACGGGCCGAGCGGCGCCGAACCAAAGCCGCAGCTTCGGCAGCAGGGTTAGAAGGTAGAGAGAGAGGCGGGGGCGGTGGAGGGGGGTATGGAGATGGGATGGGCATGGGGAGAGAGGGTGGAGGTATGAACGGTGCAGATCAGGCGTTTGGGCCACCGAGGGATCGAGAGTCGTTGATTGCGTCTAAGATGGAGCTTCAGGAGCGGGCTGTGCAGCGACGGTCCAGATTGCAGGCCCCGCAACGGACGGCTGAGATGGGCCAAGGTGGTGGTGGTGGTGGTGGCGCTCGAAACATGGGGTATTGGAACTAAGAATTGTGTTACAGTACTTTTTACTTTATAGTAAAGGAGATGGTATGCTCCTGATTGCCATCATGTACAGTATAGAGCAAAGAAATGTACAAGTCTGGCCATTATTTTGTTCAGTCAGTCAAAAGTTATCAGAAGTGTTGTGCACAAATACGAACTGTGAAAGGGAATTTCAGGGGTCCAATGTTTCACCAACAGTAGGGATATTGAAACTTTACAGGTGAACCGGACTAATTCACTATTGGGCCCCAACCAGTTGAGGAATGTCAAGGGGTATAGATGAATCTGAGCCCTCAATTGTTGGATTTTGAGGCATCCAACGGTTGACGTTTGTCAACATTCCTCGGATTTTTGTCGAGGGATGTCAACTAAAACACCAAGTATGCACACTATGAGCGAAACCACTATGAAAACACTATGAACACGCGCTGGAAACTTTTGGAACCTACTGCACGTGTACAGTGTCACAAGCGTGGAACACTATGCATTTTAACATGCAATTTGGTGCTGCCTTGTGCATGCCTCCTCCTACTGCTCCTCCGGTCAATCACACGTTACCCTGTTACCTTCTCTTCATCACCATCCACCATCAGCACCATCAGCACCATCCTCATTGATTTTTTGCTGCCCCCCCTTGCACATACCCTAACCTTCCTCCTCTCCCTCCCCCTCCTCATCTCCCTCCTCATCTCCGTCCTCTCCCTCGCCCTCCCCCTCCCCCTCTTCCTCCTCACCCCCCTCCCCCTCTTCCTCCTCACCCCCCTCTCCCTCTCCCTCTTCCTCCTCCCCGTCTCCCACCTCCTCCCCCTCTCCTCCCTCACCCTCTTCATCCCCACCCTCCTCTCCCTCATACTCATCATTCTCCACCTCTTGAGCCTCCCCCATCCCATCATCACCTATTTGCTCCTCTATCTCCTCCTCTTCCTCCTCCATCCCCCCTTCCTCCTCTTCCTCCCCCTCATCTCCTTCATCCCTTCCCTCCTCGTCTCGCTCCCCACCCTCTTGCGCATTCCCCTCCTCTTCCTCCTCTTCTCCCTCCTCTTCTCCCTCCTCTCCCTCCTCTTCCTCCTCTTCCTCTTCTCCAATCACTCCTTCCTCATTCTCCTCTCCATCCCCTCTTTCCTCTCCTTCTAACCCCCCTTCCCCTCCCTCACCCTCATTCCCCTCCTCTTCCCCTTCGTTCTCTTCACCCTCATCTCCCTCCTCACCTCCCTCCTCATCCCCCTCCTCCACCTCCTCTGCTTCCTCTTCAACTTCAGTATCATCAATCATAGGAGTCGAGCCCTCAACACCCACCACTTCCTCTTCCTCTTCTTCTTCCTCCTCCTCCTCATCCTCCTCCTCTTCCCCTTCCTGTTCCTCACCCTCCCCTCCCTCCTCCTCCTCGTCCTCCTCTCCCCCTACCTCCTCCTCCTCCCCTTCCTGTCCTCCCTCCTCCTCCTCCTGCTCCTCCTCCTCTTCCTCTTCCTCCACCTCTTCTTCCTCCTCTTCCCCTCCCTCTCCCCCCTTCCCTCCCCCTCCATCCCTTTTCTCAACATCTATAGCCATCCCAACACCCTCTCCACCCTCCTCCTCCTCATTCTCCTCCCCATCCCCCTCCCCTCCCCCACGCATCCCTACGCCCCCACCAGCACCCCCACCCCCGTGCCCCGGTGCCTGTGCTGCGACCTTCACTGCACCACCAAGCCCCATGTTCGTTCCTGCTTCACCTCTCGACCCTCCCCCAGGTGATTGCAAGGCAAGTAACCGAACCTCCTGGGGAGCAAGGAGAGACGGGGTCGGGAGGAAGAGGGGACAGGCTGAGACTGAAGCGTGAAAAGACCAGAGCGGCAGAGAGCAAGAGGAGAGTACCCCCCACCCTCATGCCCCTGTGCCTGTGCTGCGAGCTTCACTGCACCACCAAGCCCCATACTCGTTGCTGCTCCACTTGCTTCCCCTCTTGGCCCTCCCCCAGGCGATTGCAAGGCAAGTAGCCGAACCTCCTGAAGAAACAGGCAGTAGATTAAGAGAAAGTGGGGAAACGGTAAGACAGTTGGAGTGGGATAGAGCAGGGGGAGAGGTTTCTTTGCTGCTCCTGCCTCGGCCATCGGCCCTCCCCCAGGTGAATGCAAACCAAGCAGCCGAACCTCCTGAAGAAACAGGGAGGGATGGGTTTAAAGAGAGAGAGGGGGTGACAAGACGTTTAAGTGTGATAAGATATAGAGTGGGATAGAGCAAAAGGCAACAGTACTTCGTATTTTTTAGTCGACTCAAAAACAGGTTAAAGAGAGAGAGGGGATGGCAATACACTTAAAGTGTGATAAGGTTAGAGTGGGATAGAGCAGAAAGCAACGCTTCTTTGCTGGCCTTGTCTCCCGCTTGTTGCCGCTCCCCCTTCTGCCCCCCATGGGACTGCAAGGCAAGTAGTCGAAAACTCATGAAGGACAAGGGTGAAAGAAGATGCATGAAGGAAGGAGGATGCTTTTGAGTCGACTCAAAAGAGGATGCATGAAGGAAGGCGGATCCTCACAAAAACCGAGGAAGAAAAAAAAGGTGAAGGAGAATTCGTGAAGTCGTTTTCTCACCGGAATGTACTTCGGTTTTCGACGAATGGCGAGGCAGTTTGCATCTGAATCGACGGTTGTGATCGACCGGAAAAAGGGGAGCACAAAAATGGGGATGGCGGAAATGGGGATGGCGCAAAAAGGTGAGGGGGACAAACAAGAACGGCAGCAGCGAAGCGACGGCGGTGGCGGTGGCAGCGAGTTGACTTTTGAGTCGACTCAAAAGTCAACAAGGTGAGGGGGGACAAACAAGATCTGCGGTGGCGGTGGCAGTGGCGGCGACGGCGGGTAATAGGGGTTGCAGCGTCTACCGCAGGACCAGCAGGCGGCGGGTGGCTGCAGCACTAGCAGGGCGAGGGCGAGGGCGAGGGCGAGGGCGCATAACTGTTGACTTTTGAGGCGCCTCAAAGGGCGCATAACTGTTGGCTTTTGAGGCGCCTCAAAGGGCGCATACCTGTTGGGCGGGGGGGCTGCGGCGTCCATCTGAGCACCAGCAGGCGGCGGGTGGGCCCCACGGCGGTCCACTGCTTCCGCCATCGGCGCACGCTCCCGCTGAACGCCACCGCCGCGCCGTGACGCGCGGAGGAGCGGTTGCGCGTGCCTGCTGCCTCCATCGCGAGGCGTGTTGTCTGGTCTGTAACCGGGTAACCCTCTCTCCGTGCGGCAAATTCGCGAGGCCTAGTGATTCGGGACTGTTATTTAGTGGCGGCAGGAGTTCGTTTTTTAGCAAGTCCTGTCTTCTCTGGCTGCTGTCGCCCTAGAGCGCGATAAATGATTCCGCATGCCTGCTGCTTCAATGAATTCTACATTCAATATGTCACTGGATGTTGATGTCAATAAATGCCAACGGGAGTTTAAGGTCAATCAAGGGACTGACCAGGCGCGCGTTCACTATGGCAATGGAATTTATTTCAGTCAGAAAAAGTCAGTCAGAAAAAAACAGTCAGAAAAAGTGACACTAAAAAAAAGTCACGGAGACTGTAACTAGGACAACGGAAATAAGCCTTCAGCGATTAGCAAACACGGAGCCTCTTCAGGAACGGGCGACTCGTAAACGTGCTGCGAGACTCCTCCTAGACGCAAGGCACCAGTCACAGAGGTCTGAGGCAAAAGGGGCTCTTAATCCGTAAATCCTGGAAACCCTAAAAGTTGCACCTGCCTGACTGGTGTCGGTGTTATGCTTTCGCGAAACGGGGAGTTACCATTTGAAAACTCAAGTTCGTTCATACCGAGCTCCAATCAGAAAGGGATCTGGTGTGTTGTTTCTGAGGTCTGACGACAACTGAACTTTCGTCACCGACAGACGAACAGTTTCGCATACATTTAACAGTATGTCGCCCAGGGTTTGAAGTAGCCCTCGGGGTGTTGTGACGAAACCTCACTCACATGTCTCGTGCAGAACAATTGGACGGATCGATGAGAATGTTCCGAATTTTTGCGGAATCCGCCCTTTGTATTCGTGCGACACTGTTTCTTTCGTCAACAATCTAGGGCTGTAACATGTTCGTATGGCTTTCGCCAGTCGTCAACTTCTGTTGCGAAAACCCCTTTGTCCGCATATGGCATTATTTCTACCGCACAGCAGTTGGAACTTGGACTGGCCCCTACAGCAATTGTGTCGTGATGATCGTGGCATTGTTTCTGTTCCTGTGAAAGCTTCGTGCCTGGCCTCACAGCGAAATAGCTACTGTTTGATGAGATCGATGTGCGGTTTCTAACTGAGAATACTCTCGGGCTAAAATTTCCGAGTCGTAGGAAGTAACGTGCAACGCCTGTCGGCTAGTAGCTTGAGCCATGGCTCCGCGTAACACGGCGGGGCATGAGCCACTTCCCTTAGCGAATCTGCCGAATTTTGCGGCGATCTGGAACGAGGGCACGGAGAACGTGGAGCGGTGGGGAAGGAAAATCCTAGATTGGAATGTTACGGAGCGATTCGGTAAAGACTCTCTAGATCGGAATGTTGTGGAGCAATGGGGAAAAGCGCGGAGCAAAGGGACTATGAATGAGATCGTGGAAGGTTGGGGAAAGGGGTTCCAAGATCGGATCCGAAGCTTCGTTCCCCCTTCTAGAACTGCGGAGGAGCGTAGCGGCAAACGGGCGGAGGGCGGAAGGATGGCGGAAGGCGGAAGGTATGCGGCAGCGCTAGAGGCCACATCTGGGGACGGTGGCATCGTAACGCGTATAGCGCCCGCAGCAGCAGGGCGCGTCGGAGTGATACGAGCTTCTTTTTCATCGCGTCTTCCGTTAGCGCGTATAGAACCCCCTCCCGCTGTAGTAGCTACTTCGAGAACTGAAGAACTTACGAAGAGCGACTCCCCGGACCGCGAATGGCGGAATGGCGGTGCGGCTGACGTGGACGGAGCTGGAAGCAGCGGCTCGGCTGGGCGAGGAACCGGCGACGCCGACTCTAGCGCCGCGCCACCCTGGCAGATGCCGCTGAGGGAAGCTTCGAGGAAGGTGGCGGAGCTCGGGCGAGCAGTGAAGGGTCTATGGAAGGGGAGGAAAGATGACGTCAGAGGCGCTGGAACGGGAACAGCAGCAGATGGTGCTGGCGCGGGCAAGCAGAACAGCAGCCTAGCCTCTCTTGCGCAGGTGAGTGGGTATGCATGCCTACCTGTATTTTCTGACCGTTCCCTTCCTTGCCACTCCGTCCAAGCAGCAGCCTAGCCTCACTTTCGCAGGCGAGTGGAGTGGGTGGCTCTGGCACTAGGTGACTTTTGAGTTTTGAGGATTCTCAGAACGTGCTGGTGCGGGCAACCCGAGCAGCAGCCTACCGTCTCTTTCGCAGGTGCGTGGGTGGCACTAGGTGACTTTTGAGTCGACTCAAAAGCCTAAACCCTCTTTCTTGCGCAGGGTGAGTGAGACTAGCTGGCAGCAGCAGCAGCCCTAGCCAGCGGCAAGCGAGCCACTCTTATCCAGTTTCACGCCCGCCGCTGCCGCCACTGCCGCCTCTGCTGTATGTTCCCCCCAACCCCCCTTTTTCCCACCAGCGGGCTGATACAGAGGAGAGGCAGCTAGCAGCAGCCCTAGCCAGCGGCAAGCGTGCCACTCTTATCCAGTTTCACGCCCGCTGCGGCCGCCTCTGCCGGTACTTGAGTGTATAGTGTCTCGCTCTGTCTGGTTTATCTGTTCTCCTCCCCTACTTCTGCCAGTGGCGTGACGCGGAGGAGAGGCATCCGGCAGCAGCGCTAGCTAGCGGCGAACGAGCCACGCTCATCCAGTTTCACGCCCGCCACTGCCGCTCTGCCGGTCGCTCAGTCAGCTCTCTTCCTCCCTCTGTTCTTCCCTATTCCTGCCCCACTTCCCGCCCCCCTCCACCAGTGGCCGGACGCGGAGGAGAGGCATCCGGCAGCAGCGCTAGCCAGCAGCAAACGAGCCACGCTCATCCAGTTCTACGCGCGCCACTGCCACCTCTGCTGTATAGCTGCTACTTGTATTCTCTCTCCCTGCCCGTTCCCTCCCTGCCAGTTCCCTGACACGGAGGAGAGGCAGCTAGCAGCAGTCCTGGCCAGCAAGGCAGCCACGCTTATTCAGTTCAGTTCTACGCCCGCCTTTGCTGTAATGCTAACTGCATTTTCTCTCTCTGTCCATCCAGCGGATTCCCCCGCCAGTTCCCTGACGCGGAGGAGAGACAGCTAGCAGCAGCCCTGGTCAGCGGCAAGCGAGCCACTCTCATTCAGTTCTACGCCCGTCGCTGCCACCTCTGCTGGATGGCTAATTGTATTCTCTCTCTGTCCGTTTCCCCCGGATCCCCCCGGTAGTTCCCTGACGCAGAGGAGAGGCAGCTGGCAGCAGCCCTGGCCAGCAAGGGAGCCACACTTGTTCAGTTCCACGCCCGCCGTTGTCGCCTCTGCCGGTCGCTCAGCGTTTTCTATCTCTGTGTTGCTTCTAACTGTTTCCCTCCACGCCACCCACCAGATCCCTGACGCGGAGGAGAGGCAGCTGGCAGCAGCCCTGGCCAGCGGCAAGCAAGCCACATTCATCCAGTTCTACGCTCGCCGCTGCTGCCTCTGCCGGTCCCTGACTGCCCTCTCTGTGTTTTCATCCCCGACCAACCCCCTTTCCCTCCTCACCAGTTCCCTGACTCGGAGGAGAGGCAGTTAGCAGCAGCTCTAGCCAGCGGCAAACGAGCTACCCTTATCCAGTTTTACGCCCGCCGCTGCCGCCTCTGCCGGTCGCTCAGCCAGCTCACCGCTGAGCTGGCGCGACGCAACGCTGACTGGCTCAACGTGGTGCCTGCTGACGTGGAGAACAGCCGATGGTTGCCTGAGGTAAGGGGGTTTAGGGGTTTGAAGGGTTGAATGTGGTTGGGTCGAAGAGATTTAGAGAGTCTAGATTCCATGAGATGTGTATGGAGGGTTTGGAGTATGGATGGAAGAACCTTTTGCCTTCTATCTCTACTAGTGGTTTTTCTATTCTTGGTAAATTGGTTAACACCCCCTTCTCTGTACTGCTTTGCGCTGATCAGGTGGGGCACTACAGCATCAAGTATGTGCCGTTCTACGTGCTGCTAGACGCACGGGGGAGAGCCTTTTCCACAGGCTTCAATTGTGTTCCATCCCCTGTATAAACCTCCCCTTTTGCACCCACAGGTGGGGCACTACAGCATCAAGTATGTGCCGTTCTACGTGCTGCTAGACGCACGGGGGAGAGCCTTTTCCACAGGTTTCAATTGTGTTCCATCCCCTGTATAAACCTCCCCTTTTGCACCCACAGTGGGGCACTACAGCATCAAGTATGTGTCGTGCTACGTGCTGCTGGATGCGCTAGGGAGAGCCTCTCATGCCTTTTTTCCTTTATGAATTATCACACTATAACCCTTTCTGTTCACAGGTGGGGCACTAGAGCATCAAGTGCGTGCCGTGCTACGTGCTGCTGGACGCGCGAGGGAGAGCCTTCTGTACAATCGTCATTTTCCTTCCATCCCCTTTATGATCTGCCCCCTTTGCACTCATAGGTGGGGCACTACAGCATCAAGTACGTGCCGTGCTACGTGCTACTGGATGGGCGGGGGAGGGCCCTGGCGAAGACTGGCGAGCCATACAGCCGCAAGCATGTGGTGAAGGGTCTGGCTTACCTGGTGGAGAGCATTCGGCCCTACCGGCGGCGCCCTGCTGTTGGAGAGGGGGGTGACGGAAAGGAGAAGCAGCAGGAGGAGCAGGGGCAGGAGCAGCAGCAGGAGCAGCAGCAGAAGCAGTAGTGGTAGTAGTAGCAAGCAGCAGCAGCAGCAGCAGTAGCAGCAGCAGCAGCAGCAGCAGCGGCGGCGGCGGCGGCGGCGGCGGCGGCGGCGGTGGCGGCGGCGGCGGCGGCGGCGGCGGCGGCGGCGGCGGCGGCGGCGGCAGCAGCAGCGGCAGCAGCAGCAGCAGAGGCGAAGACAGGCGAGCCGTACAGCCGCAAGCACGTGGTGAAGGGGCTGGCTTCCCTGGTGGAGAGCATTTGGCCGTACCGGCGGCGCCCTTCAGAGGGATAGCAGGGAAACAGTAAGGACCAGCTGCAGCAGCAGGAGGAGAAGCAGGAGCAGGAGCAACGGCAGCAGCAGCAGTAGTAGGAGGAACAGGAACGCAGTAGTGGTAGCAGCAGCAACAGCACCCGCAGCAGCAGCAGCAGGAGCAGCAGAGGCTGAGACAGGCGAGCCATACAGCCGCAAGCACGTGTTGAAGCAGGAGAAGCAGGAGAAGCAGGAACAGTAGCAGGAGGAGAAGCAGCAGCAGCAGCAGCAGCAGGGGCAAGAGCAGCGGCAGCAGCAGCAGCAGCAGCAGCATTTGTAGTGGTACCAGGCACGTGGTGAAGGGTCTGGCTTACCTGGTGAAGAGCTCCTGTGGAATTGATGTTGCTACTGAAATAGGTTATCTGTAATGTGAATGCAATGCTTAGTTGCTGCTAGGTACTTTCTATTCCTCTAACATGTAGCTTGTGCTGGCATCAAATGTAAAAGCAGATTGAACCATGGGAAGAGAGCAGACAGAGTTACGGTATGTCAGCTGAGAAAATTCGCATTCTTCTTACGATTATTCTTTTTTGTTATAACGAGGGAGTACAAGACAAGCAATTGTTAATAACCTAGCGATAGTGAGCCCTAATCGCTTCCAACCTAAATACATACCATACCACCACACCTCTGGCTCCTCACCTTCCTCCACCATACCCTTCCCTCGTGGCTTCGTCTCGCCTTCCTTGCACCTTTCTCTCTCGTGCTCTCTCCCGCCGTCCTCTACGCTTTAGGCCCCGTTCGGCAGGCATTATGGCCATTATGGGCCCTGTTCGGCTGGCGCTAAAAAGGCATTTATATCAGGCTCGGGGACTGGCTACAGTGAAACGATAAGCGAGCTGTTGGTTATCAAGGTTCGATATAGGCGGATTTATGTCGAACCTGAGAGCATATAAAATGCCTGCCGAACAGCCTTTTTAACACCTGCGTTTTTCGCCATACGATGATTCCAGGAAACCGGTTCCCCTGGCAGAATGGCGCACCACTGATCCGCTGCATGGTGCTCGGACGAGAGCTTACATCGTGCGGGGAATAAGTGATGCGGCCAATGATATGCGACTGGTCGAACATGCTGGCCAATCAGATGATTGTTCGAAGGTGCCATTTGTCTTCGACCTGACTTCCTCGAACTTTACACCCCTTATGCGCCATCACGTTGAGCCCCCAGAATGCCAGCCGAACAGGGCAACCCTTTTTTCCGAAGGTGCTCTGCATGCGGCGCCTGACTTCGAGGATTTTTCGAGCTGGCGTTTTTTCGAGGCTGGTTAAAAATGCTCTAACGCCCATAACGCCAGCCGAACTGGGCCATGGCCATTATGGACATTTTTAATGGGCCCCCAAAAAATGCCGCTTGGGCATTTTCTGGAAACAGCTTCGAAATCGGACAGTAGCTGGGGTGTGTCAGAGGTCCACTGGTGATCCCCGATCGATCCTAGGGAAGGGTTACAGGCACGTTTGCCTGGGGGGTTATGGGCGCACTGACCCGCTACTGAAATAAGCCCTTTTATCCCAATGGTCTAGTGGTTGGGATTCTGAGATGGTATCCAGAGCGAAGGTCTCGGGTTCGAATCCCGGTGTATGCACTTCGGGCATCCCAGTGCGGGGGGGTGTCAGAGGTCCACTGGTGATCCCCGATCGATCCTAGGGAAGGGTTACAGACACGTTTGCCTGGGGGGTTATGGGCGCACTGACCCGCTACTGAAATAAGCCCTTTTATCCCAATGGTCTAGTGGTTGGGATTCTGAGAGGGTGCACCTTCAAAAATAGGGTTGACTGTCCGGTTGGCATTAATTGGGTGTAGATTGATGGCATCAATCGAAATTTTGGTTTCGCGGAATATGATAGGCAGTCTCTCAGATGGATCGCGTGATCATGTGATTGGCTAAGATATTTGACCAGACACTGTTTATTGCCCGGAATTTTTGATACCCTGCATGGTGCGGGGCCTCGAGGCCGCATGGTGCGGCGGATTAAAAAAAATGGGCACTTTGCCAGACAAACTGGGTTCGTGGAAGCTTCAGGCGGGTGAAAACGCCTGCACAAAAAGGGCTGTTCGGGAGGCATTCCATTATTGTCAGGTTCGCGTAGATCCGCTTATATCGAGCCTTGATAATCGTTCACGCGCTTATCAAAGAAGGTTCCAGGGTGGTCGTTTCACTGTAGCCCATCCGCCGAGGCCATTTTTTTAATGCCTGCCGAGCTGGGCCTTACTCTCGTTCTGTCTCATCGCCTCATCCCAAAAATGGGTTAGGGTGTGCAGTATGTTTGGGAAAGTTTGACAAAGTTTGAAGAAAGAAAGAGGATTGAACTAGCAGAAATGGGGATACAAATAGCAAACCCTAGAAGGGTTGTACTCGCTATAGAGCACCCCACTACAGGCTAGAACAATGAGATAATATTCTGACACACCCCCATAGCCAAAGTGGGGTGTAATCAGCAGAGCAGGCAAAGCAGTACAAGCTCAGGGTGGATCACAATGTCACCACACATTCTGAGCACAAGTTCAAGAAGAGATAGTTTAGAGTTCACAATTATGAGCAAAGCTAGTGGTAGTCACAATGGGCAAGTGAGGAGGAGGAGAGAGAGTGAGGGGAGAGGAGATAGGAGGCGACGGCTGAAGCTGCAGGCACACGGGCAACAGGAGGCACACTGGCACAGCGGCTACCGGAACAGCGCTCCGGACTACTGGAGTAACTGGCCCCGCGGCTCAAGTAGCGGCAGACGGGCAACGGACCCACGGGCGGCTGGCACAGCTGGCTACGACTGGGCTACCGGGACAGCGCCCCGGACTACAGGTGCTGCGAACGACAAACTGACAACCTCCACTCAACCTCCCGCACACAGTCCCACCCCCCTGATGCACACCCACTGCTACACCGCTAGCTGCACTCCCACGCACCCCCCTTAAACCCTAAACCCGAGTCTCCCACACAACCACCCCCCTCAGCGACAGCTGCAGCAGTGGGAGACGAAGGAGGAGGAGAGTACACCGGCCACCCCCATACCCGCCACCCCACAGCTCGCCCCTCAGGTCGCCTCGACGGACGACGGGAAATGGCAGGGGGAGGGGAGGGGGGGGGGGGGGGGGGGGGGCGGTGTGGTGAAAGGGGCCCACCACGGGCCTGGTTGGAGGGCGGGGCCGCGACAAGGGGCGGGGCCGCGACGAGGGGCGGGGCCGCGACGAGGGGCGGGGCCGCGACGGGGGGCGGGGCCGCGACGGTCGGGCAGGGCCGCTTCGAGGGGCGGGGCCGCGACAGAGGGCGGGGCCGCGACGTAGGGCGGGGCCGGGACGGTCGGGGCGGGGCCGCGACACAGGGCGGGGCCGCGACGTAGGGCGGGGCCGCGACGGTCGGGGCGGGGCCGCGACGTAGGGCAGGGCCGCTTCGAGGGGCGGGGCCGCGACGTAGGGCGGGGCCGCGACGTAGGGCAGGGCCGCGAAGGGTCCCCGTCGCCCGTCGCGACGCCTGTAGAGGGCGACGTGGCGACCGACGGGGCAGAAGCCCACCGCGCGCCTCGGGGCGCACAGCGGGCAGAGCACCGCCGCGCGCCTCGGGGCGCACGGCGGGCAGAAAACCGCCGCGCGCCTCGGGGCGCACGGCGGGCAGAAAACCGCCGCGCGCCTCGGGGCGCACGGCGGGAGGAAAAAGTAGGAGCGGAAGCGAGGTGGTAACCCACCCACAGGATCGATCCAAGGGGATCGACCTGCTCTGATACCATGACAAAGTTTGAAGAAAGAAAGAGGATTGAGCTAGCAGAAATGGGGATACAAATAGCAAACCCTAGAAGGGTTGTACTCGCTATAGAGCACCCCACTACAGGCTAGAACAATGAGATAATATTCTGACAAAGTTAACTTTCTGGGCGGATGGATGGGAGTATGTTTCTAGTAGGTTCAGTAGTTAGACTAGTAACTCTCACGTAGATTCTGCCAACTTTCGAACTAGGCTGGGATGAGTTCGAAGTTACATCGCGGCATGTTTTTGAGTTGACCAATCCGAACCTCCCTAGCCTATCAGCCTTGTTTCGAAACTGTGCACCACAGCATGGTTTGAAAAAATGTACAGTTGTTTCAACTCTGTTTCATAATATTACGCAAAATAATGTAATTGTGACAACTTTTGAGTTTTTAACGGATGATTAGGGTTCAATTAATCTCATCAAATAAAATTATATAAAGCATTCGACAAATTAGATAATAGTAATTACTACTGTAAATTTAATATTTTTGGAGATACTATAAGCCTATGTTTAGTTAAGTAATTATTTTTAACTTGATATTTACATTTACAATTCGTGAACACTTAACATATTGATGAAAGATAATGATCTTGTAGTGCAATATATAGCTACATGCAGAATGCGTAAGATGGAATGCACGTCAACAATTTGAAATCGTACATCACGTCGCGATTCGTGCAACTTTGTGCAGGCTGCGTCCAGGGACGTCGCTAGTAAAAAAAGCTGTCTTAGAATCAGACAGAAGTTCCGGCCTTAGTCTGACCATCAGACGAATTTGTTAGCGCTGTCTGACCTTTCAGATGAAAGTGGTTTGAAATGTCCGTCGATTCAGACAATGTTTAAATACTAGTCTGTAGCTAACATTAACGTTGGAAGTTATTTAACCTATTGAGTCTCGCTATCAGATTCACTAGAACTAACAGAGCAAGACTCGTCATCATCCTCTGATGCTACGACTTCCTGACGCTTCTTCA